AAAAGAATGGCATTTTGTAAGATTCAGATCGATTTTCGTATATCGATGATTTTTTTTACTATCACTCTATGAAAACTGTTTCTATTTCATATGATATGAAAGTTAATTAAGTTACAATTCTATTTGTATTTTGCATAGTGTATGCTGAGTGCCCAGCTTTAAACCACGTCAAGGGCTTCGGGCCCTCGTTGTACATGGCCACAAGTGTCTGTAATGGAGAGTGGCGAGCGGGGTCTGGTTGCTCAGGGTGCGAAATCGAAATGTGGTGGTTAAATAATCGCTGTTTATGAAACAATCAATAAATTTAAGCTGCTGTTGTGGCAGTAACTGCGTCATGTGCTGCTGCTACAGTTGTAGCTGCCTCGAGGCACTAAATATATGTATAAATACTTTGTCGTACAAGCAAAACTCTTGACTAGCCCAGCCAAGGGTTGTGGGGCCTATGTAGAGTGTGGTAGGGGTGTGTGTGCGGGGGGAGTTAACAAAAGTCTTGAAACTCGTAATTGCTCGATTGAGTGCTTGGTAATCTCAGTACTTCATTACAAGTAGTTGAACGGCACAACAGCCAATAATCAGGCATTGCAATAAAATTAGAATTCATTGATTTTCGTCGAGTGTCAAATGTAATAGAAATGAGCTCATATGGACCATTAAAACATTTTATATTGCCCAAGTTTTGTAAGCACAGTAAGTAGGCCAATGGGCTTTATTAGTTCAAGCAGCAGTTAATGAGAATGGCTATGAAAATATCACAAAAGGTATATGAAGACACTTTATAAAGAATCCATTCACTGGCTTTGATGACTCTGTTAATGTCTCTTAATATGCACCATAAGTTTGACGTTTTAATGTGTAATGTTAAAACTCATCCATAAAATAATGAATGAGTCCTTAAGCCAGAATCAGAATCGGAGCCTTAAAAACATTACCAATCGATTGCAATTGGCAATAAGGCAATGCCAATAATAGAACTTGGCTCTTTACACACAACTTCAGCATGAATAAGCGTAAATATGACTTGTGTGCTGTTCTCTTTGAGAACTTACACGTTGCACACTTGTGAACTCAATTTGTTGAATGTTCGAGGATTTAATTAATTGGCAACGCGTGCTAGAGCCTCACTCAAGGCACTCCAGGACCCACTGAGCCCTAAGGCTCAATGGCTGGGATTTGATTGGGAACTTGATTGGAGCAAGTCATCAATTGAAATCCATGGAAACCATGGAAGTCCGTCCAAACACAACATAACTGCCAACTAATTGTGCAGAAATTGCAATTGGGTTCAGTCGGCTATGTGCAAAGGAAATGCTTTCGAGTGCTACAAAAAGTGCGCTAGACCGCAAATAGAGTTGCCATTGTGCCGGGGATCGAGGAGTGCAGCTGCTCTTGCACCTTCTGTCCACCCCCCCCAAGATTCCATAAAAGTTGGATTAAAGATTTTATTTGCCAAGCTATTCAACAATAGAGCACCTTTGACACCTTCCTTAATCAAATTGAATTTGGCTGTAGGGCAAAAAGTAGCTGACAAGTTTGCAGTATAAAAGTTTAAATTGCTTTTTCTGTGAACTAAATACAAACTCAAAGTAATGAGTATTTTCGTCATTTTTTTGTAGAGAATAAAGTATTATTTTGGTTTGCTTAAGTTTTTCTAATTTTTCGATCGGTTTGCTAAAATTGAGGTTCCTAGGCGATTTTCGTCGGTTATTTTATTGTTACCCTTTTGATTTTACTTTTTTTGTTTTCATTTTAAACCAGTTTGTTTTAATTTAAAATTATTTTGAATTGTTCAAGCTTTAATCATTTAGAGTTCGTAAGCCGCACTTAGTTCGTATTAAATAAAATAAAATAAATAATAAGCAGATTTAGCAAACACAAGCAAAACTTTAGATATCCAGTTTATTTTAAGTTTTTCCATGGAAAACCATGAGTAATTTTGGATGATCTACTTTGCAAAACATGTGTAGTTTCTCCCAAGCTGAGATAACAACTGCGTCCGTGCCACTGCCCCCGCCTCTGCGCCTGTTCATGCCACTGCCACTGTGCTTGCCCTGATTGTTGTTTTTCCGGCTGACTGACAGGCGGACTGATGGACTGATGGACTGACAGACTCGCAAGACTCGCAAGACTCGCCTTTGCCAGCCGCATTTTCCATTTTCCATTTAATTACTGAGGCCTGCGGGGAGTGTTCAACTTTTGCGCTTTGTATTTGCATTTAATTGTGTATATGTGTGTGAGAGTGTTTCTTTGTGTGTGTGTGTGTATGTTTATTTCGCTTGCGCCATTTTGCAACAATAATTTGTTGCATGGGCAGGCGCTGTGCCATTTTGCAACGCCATCCGTTGACTTCCTGCCTGCAATGCTTCAAGTGGCCTGACCCAAAAACACATTTTATCCGTTTCTATATATATATATATATATAAATGTATATATGTATATATATCTTACTTTCACTAAGGAACACACACAAACATACACACACACACACACTCTCGAACCCGCTGCTTTATTGTTACTGTTAGCCCCATTTTTTTTGTAGCTATTTTTAACCGGGATGCGCCGGGACTTCTTTATTTATGTCAAGTCGCCTCAAGTGTGTGTGTGTGAGTGTGTTTGTGTGCCTTTGAGAGTGTGTGTGTGAGCCCTTTCAGAATGCAATCAACATCAGCGCATCCTGCAATTATCAACATCAGCAACAGTGGCAGCAGTAACAGTAACAGCCTCAACATCGACAGCTGCCACATCTCAGATGCTGCTGCCACCAACTCCTTCTGCATGCCCTTATGTGAGTGTGTGTGTGTGTGTTGCCAGCTTGAAAGGTAAACATTCGTAGCTGCCTTTGAGTGGGCGTTGAGCGTTGAGTGCTTACTCCAGTTTATGCATTCTTAATTGCGACAGGCTGACAAGCACAGCACGTCCTGCTCCCGTGACACTGATTTTGTTGCAAGCTGTTGGAGGGGACCCGGAGGGTGGTGGCAAGCACCGCAATAACCGCAAAAACCCATTTCCCATTTGCACAGCGCCTTGACGCCTCTTGCCAACAGCGTGCAACGTGCAACGTGCACAAGGAGCCAAAGATTTGCTGCAACAGATAGTAGCACAAATTGCCTTACGTAGCCCTGCCCCCCGCTTATTGTGCAAAATGCAGCTACTTTTTTGGTTGTCACATTTCACGCATTCAAATGTTGAATTTCCCACTAAATTTTTAACTTCAAACGGTTTGTTTGCCCCACATGCAACACTTGTCTAGACACCGAAATCGATAATTAAAATTAATTATGCTGCCTTTTGACACGCTGCAGTGAGTGAAGCCATTAGCCGTGAACAAATGTCGTTAGTATTTTGTTTTGTCTTAACGGTCATTGACTTCCAGAATATTCCCTTTTGCATTATAACTTTTCTGCTGATGAAGCGCAGACAAAAAGCATTAACAGCATTTGTGCCTCGGTTCTGCAACTGGCAGTCGACTTCGCGGCATCTCTGGAAATCAATTGGAATACCTACACTCGGAAAACAGTCAGTTAACTTAAGTTCGTTTGGGTGTTTTTGAAACCTGTCTACATTAAGCTTGTGAAGTACTTGCCCCACAAATTTCATTTACCATTTTCCTCTGAGCAGTAGTTTTGTTTGCACTTTGAATGAGTTAAAAAAGTTTTCCTTAAGGATTCAATTGTTATGTTGCATAGTCGCAAATCTCTTGAGACCCATTCAACTTTTTAGTTAAATCATAAAATGAACCGTTCGCCTTCTCAGCAATTGTTTCTTTTCGATTGCATAACATCAACTTTGATTAACTTTGTTTTATCTACCTTATTCTGACATTCAATGAATTTGAGATTTTTTAAGTTCGTGAATAACTTAACTTAATCAGCAATAGTATTTCATTACCGAGAATTCCTTTTACGTATCTCATTTATATAATTCTCTTCTCTCTGCTACTAAAGAATTAAGCTGTAGCAACTTGCTAAAGCGCTTCTCAGATTAGGGCACGCTCTTGTTTGATTAAATTTGCTGGTAATTTAGAGCCATTAAGAGTCGCTCCTAAAAATATTCTACTGCCTAATAAAACACACATAACATAATGTAAAATTAATATCCCCCATGGCGTAATTTCTATATCCATCTAAGCTCATATACAAATACACACACACCCATAAATAAATACAAGTGTGCATTTGAAATGAGGAATAAAGTAAACCAAAAGCAAAAATGTGGAATTCCAAATGTCTGAAATCTGAACCGACTGAAGGCGTGCCTGGCCACTGTAAATGTCCGTCCAGTGTCTACGAGTTGGTCTGTCCGCATGGCTAGGTTGTCAAAGGACGGATAGGGCTAAGGGGTCCGGGGGCATCTTTGAAAGCAACATGCTGCAAATGCCGCCAAGTCGCCGCAGGCGAAACGAAAAATACAAAAATATAAAATGAAATATGAGAGAATTGTGGTTATAATAAAAAGCACGCAAAAAAAAAAGAAAACAGAAAAATAAAGCAGGCGAAGTAAACAGGACGAAATGGAGACATTGCTGACATTCATTATTTACTTGCGCCTGGCCGGGCGCTCAGCCAGGTTCTCTGCCTGTTTAAGGCCTTGGCCAACGGGGCGTATGAGCCATATGACTAACGGTTTCCTGCAGGATACAAAATTAACGCCACTGCTCAGACAGCCGAAGACAGACGCAGCCAGAAGCCGGCATTTTGTCTCGCTTGCATTTATAATGCTTTTGTTTTGCATTCGGCATAATTAAGAAAACAACCTGATGAGGACGCGGAGTAACTGGTTGGGAAGGGGAAGGTGAGGGGGATGGCGAGGGGAAGCTGAGTTTAAATTGCGTGGAGCGACAAATTATGCACAAGTGCAATTAAGCACTTTGCTTTTGTTTATCACTGTGGGATGCGGGTGCTGCAAGCTTTGATCATCTTAAGCACCTCTTTCTCCCATCCTGCTCACCTCGGGGCAATTGCAATGCAAATAGTGTGGGAGGAGTGGGGGATTGTGCCACTTACCAAAGGTGACGCCATTCGTTTGCTTTTCCTTGTCTTTTTCCTTATCGCTCTTTTCGCCGCCCAACGGCTCCAGCTCGATGCCATCTGTGGTGGCCACTTTGTAGTCCCGTTTCGACATGTTGCCACAGCAGAAGCCACAACATAACATCTGACCAAATTTGTAGGCTTTTGGCTTTAGCGGCGCCGTCTTGAATGAAATCTCTTCTGGCCAGTTGGGGAGGGGGCAATGAATCAAATTACTCCAATCCTCAATCGAACAGAGTCGTCTACTCCTTGTCGTCCTTCAAGCGATATGTATGAGTGTTGTGTGTGTGTGTGTGTGTGTATTCAAAAGAATATGACGTTGTAAAGTACGAGTGTGTATAAGAAGACTACGAGTCGGTGAGTAGAGTTTTGGATTGTTCGGTTTTTTTATTATGTATTTTTTGTTCTCGTTGTTGTATAAATTGGTCCAGCTCACGATGTGAGACAATATGTTTGATTCTTAATTGCAGAAGCTGAAATCAGAGAAAGAGATGAGTGTGAGATTATATGGAATTATCTATAGATATATTTAAACAAATATTGCCATAACATATTGATTGTAAAATACAATTGCAAGTCAACATATAAACTTCATAATTAAAGCAATACTTTTCAAGTTTTCTTGAATATTTGGATTAAACTCAAAATGAAATTTTTCTTTTTTAAATTTAAAGTAGCAAAAAGATACAGTCAAATCAGATAGCTGGGTCTAGACAAGTAACCGCCAGTAGACAATAGACAATTTAGTGAGTAAAATCTTCTTTCTTATTGGTGTATATATACCATATCTTTATGATTCGTGACCAAACTTCAATGTGCTTTGCGAACATATCAGAAAAGCAATATGCCCTCAAGCAATAAGTCACGTTTCGATTTTGCTGCAGTCGCAATAGTTTGAGCTTAGATTAGAACCTGCTGTTGCATCAACTTTTATAATAATATATTTTATGTATGTATTTATGGCATAAAGTAGACGGCAAGTTTTTTTTAGACTGGCACAAAGAGCCGGCACTTTTAGCGACGTCGGCGTCGACAACATTGTTCGAAAGCAAACAAAACGAACTTTAATAAGAGCACTCAGCACTCTTGGGGGAACTCCTTTGCCTGGCGGCAGGACTTGCATTTGTAGTCCAGCACTTATTGCTTGTCTTAGTTGTGGCACCCTCCACACTGCTTTGTTTGGCAACACATAAAACAGCAAAAAAGAAAAGAGCAATGACAATGTGTTCCATTCGATAGCCTTGGGGGCCAAACGTAAATGTAAAATGCAGAATTGAGAATGGTGAATGGTGAGTGGTGAGTGGTGAATGGGGCGAGCCCGACAATAATTGCAAACTGAAGTCACAAAGCGGCCAACGAGGCGCATACGTAATTCCCCAAGTATCGAATAGGTGCGCCACACAGTTCAATGCACGCCCATTTAAATGGAACACCAAGCCCCAGTCGGAGTCTATGTATATCTAAGAAAATTTGTGCATAACAAATAATTTCCATGTTTTCTTGAGATTTTATAAGCGACCTTTCCAAAATTAACTTCATTTAATATTACTTTTTAACAAAACTTAGTTTTAGTTATATTTTCAACTCTTTTGAATAAATGAAAAAGCCTTCGAAATAATTTCCAAGTTTTCGATATGAATTTATATTTTTATTTTTGATTTGAATTGTATTTCAAACTGTTTTTGAATATTATTTTATAAATCAGAAAAAATATACATTTTTACATTCTAATGCAAAAGTTGTATTTAAATGTTTTAGTCACATCTATCCTGCCAAAAAGCAAAGGCAAAACATTTGTACTTGCATAGTTTTTTTCTGAGTGTAGTCGTGTACACTTCACACTCCATTGCGACGGTCGCCAGCACTCCATACAAAAACTCCATTCGTTTTGCAATTGTTTGTGCTGTTTGTTAAAACACAACCTCATAAAGCACTTGGCAGAAAGCATTGCCAGTGCACTGTTAACCGGGCTAACCCCGCACAATGTGGCATACCAAACCAAAGCGTACAAAAAGCCAAATAACAAAGGACCACAACCAAAATGAATCGAGCAAACAACGCAATGCTGCACTAAATACATAAGTCGAACCTTATATACGCTTTCAAAACCAATAAATAGTTATGAATATGGATTTAGTTGCAATCATTATGAAAGTAGAATGTCATTGGAAAAGCTTTAAATTTTTTAAATAAATTTCATAATATTTGTATATGCAACTATTTGAATACATAGTCAAACAGAAAAGTCCTACTAGATATTGAAATTAATAATCAACCTAAATCTTTGTGCTTATTTCAATTAGAAAGGATATTCTTCTTCACATGCTCTTTTTACCCATTATTTATATAGAAAAAGAATATATCTCTATATTAAAGTAGAGCCCTACTTTTTAGTATTTATTTAAATTAGAGAAGATATATGTAGTTCTTGAAAGTCCTATTTTGCTCCAATGCATATACAAAATATATACTTTTAATGGAAATAGTTCAGCGAACAGGTTACAGGTACAGTTATGTCCAAAAGCTCAGCAGCAATGCACATGGCTTAACAAAATGCTTATGCCCTTTTTCATGCCGGCCATTTAAGCCGCAAGTTTGTTTTGGCCTGTCCGTAAAGTGGCCGGAATTAATGGCAAAATGGCGTCAGCTTGTTTTGTTTTGCTTTGCTTTCCGTTTTTTTCTGCTTGTTGCGTTCGTTGCATACAAAAAGTTTGTGGCATTGAGGGCCGGCTCAGGAAACAGGCACAAAAGACAATGCAGCCAAAAATAGCCAGTACTGCATAGAAGCAAGTTTGTGTGACTATGTGCAAGTGTATGTGCTGTAGGTGTGTGTGTGGTGTGTGTGTGTGGTGTGTGTGTGTGGTGTGTATGCGACACGTGCCCAAATTGTGCCCCAAAGTGTCATTTGTTATGTTACTTCCGGTCTGCCGCGGCAGAGTAAAAAAAGAGTTCAAATCAAGGATTGGCTTAAAGCTACCCTACAACCAAGTTAAATCTTTTATAATACTGAATAATCATTGGGTAATTATATATATAATATATATATGCATTTTTTACAAAATTCATGTTTATTTCAATTAAAAGCCGTTTAGCAAAAGGAAAACGTTTAAAAATGTGGCCCAATGGAATATGGCAATTAAATAGTCTCTCGAGACAAATTTATTGATAAACCGAGACGTATGCTTGTATGTTTGTGTGTGTGTGTGTGTGTGTGTGTGTGTGTGTGTGTGTGTGTGTGTGTCACGTAGTTAGCAAGAGATACTCGCTTCTCTATTCTTTGGTAGATTTATTTCACATAGGAAAATATTGGAGGCAACTAAAAGAACCTATGGGAGAAGCGCTTTAGTCACTCGGAAATTGAAAAAATTTATTCCTATTTTCCATACTTTCCAATATATAACATTTGTAAATAATCCTATTAGTGGTTGGAAATCAATAGAATTTAAAATATTCGTAGTATAATAATTCAGGCTTAATGGTTAGCATTGGGTTTATGTTTTATAATGACATAAAACACATAAATAAAATAATTGGTGTGACGTGTTTTTGGGGGGTGATGTCAAGTGAACAATTCTGAACGATCTAAATTATTGTTGTTTGAATGTAAATATTAATTATGAATATTACTATTTGAACATAATCATTTATTTCTAAAAATGACTTGTGAATCGCAAGCCTGCTGGCTCTTAAGCAAGCCCTTTAATAATTAACGCTTGTTTATTGAATATTGCTCGTAAATTAATTATTCAATTTCCGAGTAAAGCTTTTATGCTAATTGAAAAAATGGATTTGAGCATTGCGAGCAATAAAAAAATAGGCTCATCAGGTGCATGCATACGAAAGCTTTAGCACGAACCAAGAGCTTCATGGGTACACAACACAATTTTGAAGGCCATAAGGTGCATGTGCAGTGTTCTATACACCTATTCCTCCCCTCGAAAGTCGAAGGTCAATCGACACAAATTCGATGGCGGGGCAATTAACGTCAGTCCTCGGAGTGTTATTTTGTGAGGAAATCCCTTAACTGACTTGAGGGCTCTCTCCGTTGCCATTAACTGTGGACCGAGACCCACTGGGAAAATGGGGGGAAATTGGAGTGACCTCGACTTGGACTCCTGCCTGGGGGGTATTAACAACTACGCACTTAATAGCGCTGGACAACTTCCTAATTTTGATGTTTTTTGTTTTTGTTCTAGCAGGTGTCACGTTCTATTTTTAGGTGGTAATCAATCGGTGGGGGTCAGCGAGGGTCGCGTCTCTGATTGTTAGTAAATTCGGCTTGATATGCATGCTTATGAGCATACAGCAACCTAACGGCACACACATTCTAAAATATTAATGCCGAACAATCGTCATGAATTATTAAAGGACATAGACACAGCGAAGCCTGCGGTTAGGAGGCAGCAGAGGAGACACTGTTCGACTGAGTGTGTGTGTGTGTGGGTGTGTTTTGGCTTTTGTGTCTGGGGCATGTCAATTAACTTGTTCTCATTTCAAAGCCAACATGATAAACACATTTGTCAATGCCAGGGCCAACTGACAAACAATACGAACAGCCAGTTCAAATATGTACAACAACGGAACAACGAGCAATGAACAAAACAACAGCAGCAACGAACAACACAACAAAAACAAAAACAAAAATAAAAACATGTGTAAGCAAATAAGCTTTTTACCAAGTCCAAAAAAGTGTATGCGTTGAAAATCCTTCGGTTTCAGTTGTTTTATTTTGTTTTGCTTACAGTATTTGGGCGCCAAGTTTGTTAAAATGATGCACACACGTATATATGCATATATATTATATGGATATCGTTGGATATGGTTTGGGGAAGCTGTGGAATATTTGCATATTCTCTGTTGATATTTGTTGTTGAATTAATTTTGCACTTGAAAACACAAAATAAACCGTGGCGAATATAACACAAGCAACACAATTTTTATCCGTCTCTCTTCGTTTGAATTATTGACGACTGTTTAATATTCTATTATTATTATTATTATTATTTTATTATAATGCACAAAAGCGAACAAAATGCGACTAGTTAGCGCGAAGGATAAACTCGTTCTGTTCACAGGAGTTGAGCAGCAATGGGCAGCTGACTACATTTTGAGAGTGCTTTTTTATTTTACTCTCTCTCTCTCAGTCTCTCTCTCTCTCGTTTGCTCTCTGGCGCGAAAGCTGCTCACGAGTTGGTCCTGTGTCAGAATTTGTGCAGTGAAATTCCAAGGGAAACTGCACAAGGGAGAGGCTGAGATAGAGAGAGAGAGAGAGAGCGGGAGAGAAAAGCCGCTAGTAGGAGTTAGCGCGTTTCCCAAAGCCCAACCACCCCAAATACACCCCCAAAAAGCATCATCATCATCTGTTAAGACGCATATCAACAATGATTTTGTTTTGTTCCGGCCGCTGTGCGTGTGTTAAAATATAATGCTCTATGCTAGATAAACAAAATATTAGGGGTGTGTAAAGAAGTCTTAGGGTGTTTGACGCTGATATTTGCGCTACTTCAAGGGCTCTGTGCGATTTCAGCAGCAGCTTGACATAAATGTAAGCAACAATAATTACATTCCACATTACTGACTCTAGCGCAATAGCGCATTTATTTCACAAAACAAATAATTCATAAATAAAATAAAAATATATTAAGGCTAAGCTATCATCTTGACAAGTTTTACATGAGTGATATATTATCTGTTTTTACTTAATCTAAATTTTTGCACAGCAGTTGGACAGCATTTAATTAATATAATATATAATACAATCAAAATTAATAAAATAATAACGACTTAAACAAATCGATTTAGATTTAATTTACATAAACGTTGGGACAATTGGATCATTTCGATCGCAAGTCAATCATTTCATTACCCTCCATATCTTGATTTTTCGGCGTATCATCGGGCTCCAGAAGTTCACCATCAAAGCTGCACAAAATGTATAGATTTATCAAAGAGATAAAGTAATGGCAGTTTTAACAAAATTTCAACTTACAATAATTTGAAATCGCTAACAGCGCACTCCATTTCTTCAGCACATTTTATGTAGAGTATTTTAAATGTGTCGGTTTTTTTCAACTGAATTATCAATGGTTTTTTCCACTTATCTCCCTGTACTTTCAGCTGGAATTTCTTTGGCTTAACCATATTATTATCATCTTCCTTGTGTTGAACCACATTTTTAGCCGATTTCATGGCGTGACCACCTAAAAAAATAAATATTCAGAAATAAACGTTATCCAATTGGAATTTGATATACTTACTCAAAATATGATAGACCTTAAGGCCGACGTTTTGCGGCGACTCCGTTGGTCTGATGAATATATCCTCCATGTTTATAATAATATCATCTATGGGCACATTATTGCGCTTGGAAACTTCTTTGAACATGTGCGCAAACTTTTGATGTTGTCTCAATTTATAAAGTTGGATTTCACCAAACCTGAAACAAAGGCGTTTGATAAAGTCGATTTATACATTGGATAGTTTTTGGGTAATGTTAAATACCAATTCAAATTGATATCAAGGATTTGATTATCATCATCAAAATTATTTGCAGGAGTAGGTTCTTTTGCCTGATCCAACAATTGATCACCGTCATCATCCGAGTCTAGATTTACCTGCAATTCAATTAATATCGCTGTTATTTCTCACTTTTAAATAGAAAATACACATCTGTTTACAAATCCTTCGATGCGTGGCACAACAGCGGAGACCATATCAATGGAATCGATAACCTGTGCACGAGCAGCTCTCTCCGCTATACTCCAATGAGGGTCAATTGTACTTGCAGCTGGTCCTGTCTTCTTTCGCCCCCGAACATTTCGTCTCTTTGGCGGCAATACTGAAGCTACAACAACATCTGGTTCCTTCCGCTCGCCCATTGATGAACGTGTGCGACGAGCCACAGGCAACTGATTGATTTCGTTAGACTGTCTCTCTTCCATTTCAAGGATCAATTTCGAGACGGGTGATAGCTCACGGGTCACCGCAGGATTGGCTGTAGACAATGTTGTCGTTGTTGGCGAATCCTGCTCCTGAAGTCCAATGTTGTCTGACTTCCCTTCATCCGTCCCTGTTTTTTGTTGCTTGTCAGTCTTTTTCTGTGCTGTTTTCTTTGTTTTAGAGACTTTTGCTGGTTTCTTGACGACGGCTTTGCTTGTGGTAATAAAATTATAGTCGGTTTGGCTTAAATCCCCTTCCGGCACAAACAGTTTTTGTGGCACAGCTGAGAGCGGATTTTGTTTTAGCTATGTTCAATTTCATATACTGCATGAATTAACTACTTACCAATATTCTGTTTCGGTGGTAAATTAAAAATATCACACTCATCGTCAGACATTCTGAGTTGATATTTATTGATTGACCTTTCTTGCAGTAAAACTCAGAATAACAAAAAAATGCCGCCAAAATAGAAACAACTAATGACGCTAAAAGTTACGGCTTGTGCGAGTTTGCTTATCGATTATCGATAACTTTCCAGCTGTTGGCAAACACCAGTGTTCACACACAAAGAAAATATTACGAGCCAGAAAACGTTTGAATTTAAGCACAAAAATAAATCTTTGAGATTCTTACATTTATTTAATTCTTTAAGTTACAAAAATATAGTTTATAGTTAGGGTTTGAAAAATTCAACATCGCCTTCTTTGTGCGGTATTGCTGGATCTAACCCGAAATTCATTTTGACAACATCACAAAATACAGATAGAAATATGAACGCATCCGCAAAGTGATTGATTACAAAAAGTATTTCACGATTCCGCGACTTCTCGATGCTGACAAGGGTTTGAGCAACTAGGATAACACCTGTAAGCACCTAAATATATAAGGAAAAAGATTTGTTATTTTTTTTTTTTGCTATACAAGTTTTTTATTAATATTACAAATCTTACAATAGATAAATCATCATTACTTTTAATACTATTTAATTGTTAAATCTATTTGTCAATAATGCATAGATTTTTATATCTATTTTTATGGTACTTTAGCGTGCTGATCGATGAGTCTAAGCGGTTGGGACGAATACTCGATGCCGAAACCGGAAATTATAACATTCATCACCGATATTACAAAGATGACCACCAAAATGATATCGTTCAATATTATTGCTGCCGTCTGGTCTTGCTGCTTGTTAATATTCAGACTGCCGATGGCCACAAACAGAATTCCGACCAATAGCTGTGTAAAATTAAAATTGAAATTTGAGTTAAGAATGCGACGAATTTCCCCAATCACACAAACAGTTGGTAACGGTCCACTACTGATAACTCTATATTGCCTCTAAGTAATTCTTAAATATAATTCTAATTCACATTGTTTAAAAGTTCGCCTTGCGGCGGGGGCAGGCGACTATCAAATGCCGATATGAAAAGATTCAACATTGTTGTGAAAAAGGCGAAACCGGTGCGCACATGATTGATCACATTGGCCGATTGATGGAACTCTGGCTGGTGCAGTCGGCAATCCCGCAATAAACTGAGCGACAGGCTAAGTACGCCCGACAGTATCTAGTATGGACAACATTGAAGAACCGTTATAGTCGTTACAACCCCGTACAAGTCGCAACAATTGCAAACGGAAATTCATTTGTATTTACCTGCATCACTATCGACAAGCTAATTAAAATCAGCATCAGCTTGTAGAACTGATGCTGTTCGCCAACTTGTAGTATATATTTCAGCTGGGACGCATTTGCCGTTAGCAGCGCTATATCCAGCATACCCTGCGCAATTGTTTTCTTTGTCGCATAGCGATTCGCATCCATTGCCTTCATCTAGAAAATAAGAAATTGTATCTTATTAAAATGTAATTTTCATTTTTCACTATAAACACACGGATGATGCCATTTTCAGTGCCGTCTCTTCGAGTCTTCAATTGAGTGTGAAATAATCATACTGGTCTAGTCGAAATGTGTAACTTTTCTTATCTGTGCAATTGGTGCGATACATGATATTGTGTCTTGCTGATAAACTCAACTATCAACTCAAACCAATTAGCTAAAAGTGCAAATTTTGTTTTCTGCTGTATTGGGAACGAGGATGCTTGCAGCATACCATCAAAAATTCAAATGTTTTTATTTGCTTGATATTTTCCAATGTTGATAACTATTCTTAATGATTATAAGTCATTTTAATACTGCATTTTCATTATTTGTTTACTATATAGATAGCGATTCAGCGAATAAGTAAAATTTTTGTTGATCAATTTTATGAAGAGAAAAATATAACAATTAAAGAAATTTGTGCGAATTTTGCTGTAAGCTAGATTCATTTTTCTTGAAGCTAGATTGTTGACTTTATAACTGCAATTTAATAATAATAAATAATAGTACGAAGTTTGAAATTCTTCCGGCACCATCTAAAAATGCATTTACTGCATCAAAAAATATAATTAATTCAGTATAATGCAGCTTCCATAAAATAATCTGATTTATGATCCAGTAATTACTATTGGTAGTCTGATGTATTGAATACTTTACAAAATATAAGCTCATTTCGTTATTATTATAAAATATACACATATTTATACGACAAACATTTTAAAATATTTATTTGAGTTAGTTTGGATAGTTGCATGCTTTCTAAATTTCATACCTGCCATGCATACGTCACAGTTTTCTGCAATAAATAAGCAAGATATAAACTAAACTAATGTACTTGAAAATTCATTGAAATGGTTTAGAAATATTAGACAACATGTTGATATGCGTTTAGTATAATTAAGCAGTTAGAGACACACACACAGATAAAACCACAAAATTGTTCATCTGACTTCATTACTAAATTTGCAAAAAGATACACACTAATTCATATGAATCACCATAAAGTTCTTCGTTTCTCTTTTATAATTGTTTTGTGAATTATAAAATCGATAGGCTGACACACGACTGTCAGGAATGAATATTTTATACGCTTGGCAAATCTGAATTGTATATTAGATATCTGTATGGGCATATAGGAATGCATAAATACATATATATGTATACATATATATTTATATATATATATATATATATATATACACGCACACATGGACACACATCCACATACACAAGGGAAACGGGTATCATTAAGACAATTAAGGCAGCAGTTAAAATACTATGGGAAGTGCATAGCTCATGGACATGTGTAAAATTCTCAGGAACTTAGAGAAAATCAAGGTTAATATATGAAATGTGCATTACTATTTAAAGTTAGTATGTAGATTAATTGTTTGTGTTTTTGCGTAAGTTGACTTACCTCATTTTCGTTTACCCGCTCTGCCATCTGAGCCATTGTAAAGTTTTCAATACGGTTCCACGTGGCTGCTTTTCAAAATAAAAAACCAAAAGCCACAAAATTCAATGCAAGACTTTTTCACTGCCCGTCACAAAAATTGTAACAAACAATTGTTGGGGGCTTCAAAATAGAAACTTGTGAATGGCCGTTGCCATAGAGATTGGTCGCTTGAGACACAACCAAACGATTAAGCAACCGAAAGCCAACTGAATCCAATTCGAGTCAAAGAGAGCGACACAGCTGACCGAAAAAGAGAGCAGTTAACTGAACAATCGAGTGAATGGCTCAGATACATATGGCATTAGGTATGACTAATGTGTTTGGTTTGAGCATGTGTATGTCGTTAAATCTCTATCTGTTAATCTCCCATTTGTGAGATCTGTATGGGAAGCAGCACTACATAAATGATTCGATTTAATAGACAAATAGATTTTAGTTTCTTTATTTTCTATGCTGTGAAAAGCAATATATTCAATAAATAGCATTTTTAAATACTTTGCGCCTATTTATGCATATATTCAACATGCATGCAATAATTGTTACGAAATTTGAGGATACTTTTGATGTTAGCTGACACATGGTTTCATTTGATACAGAATTTAATAAGCCTTTTACACATACGCGTTTAATTAAATAAACCAACTAAAAAGTCTTTCGGTGCACGGCACGCAAACCCTCCTCCTCGAACTCCCGCTTCGATACCCACATCTTCTTGAATGTGTCGAGCGATGCCAGAATCGAGCCACCCATCCATGTGGAATATAGACGTTCCTGTGGCGCAGCAATCTGATCGGATAGACACCCTTATTAGAATATACCATATATTTAGATAATTGAACTTTGCATTTACCCTGATTTTCAGATCCTTTGCCGAGTGTTTTCTCAGCTCGGACAGCAGGCGATCGCCGAAACCTTTGAAAAGCGTTGAGCCACCCGATAGCACAATGTTCTGATAGAGCATTTTCCTGAGATCCATATCCGACTTCTCAATGGAATACATGAGTACATCGTGTATTCCCTCGCACTCCTCGCCCAACAGATCGGGACGGAAGAGCACCTCTGGTGCACGGAAGCGAGCCTGTCCAATCTCAAATGTCTTGCCATCGGGTAATTTGTAGGCAAACTTCTCAGTCTCCACAGCCTCCTCCTTTTGCGGATTGGTTGCCAAGTAGCACACCTTCTCCTTGATCGAACGCACAATCTCGAACTCGGCAGTCGAACGGAAATTGAAGCCCTCCCGTCGTATGAGTGTTTTCAGGTAGCGCGTCACGTCCCGTCCAGCGATGTCCACACGCATAATACTGTGTGGCATGGCAAAGCCCTCATAAATGGGCACAGCATGCGTCACACCGTCGCCTGAATCAAGCACAACACCGGTTACACGACCAGTAGCGTAACTGAATGGAATAACATTTTTTATTAGGTTTTAGTTGAGATATGGACAATTTGGATGTCATTTGAGTTTAGTTTAAAATGGTATTTATCCAAACTAAATGAGAATATATAATATAAAGGAGTTCGATTGCATCTTAAATTGCTTAAGAAAAAATGGATTAAAGGCTACCAATATTGATAGTATAATATAAAGTCTTCATATTGACTTTTTATGTTTACTTACAGACTGAGGACCGCCTGCATGGATACAAAGAGCGCTGGTGCATTGATGCCCTCAAAGAAGAATTCGGCTGCCTTTTCGCGATTACGACGCGGATTCAATGGCGCCTCTGTCAACAGAACAGGATGATCTTCCGTAAAGGTGGCCAATTGTTCCTGTCACAAGAAAGCAATTTGATAACCTGTTGATTGTTGAATTCAGTGCTTTACTTACTTTACTATATATATAGCTCCAAATGCGCTCCATATCATTCCAGTCCGTCACTATGCCGTGCTCCATGGGATAACGTATGCTTAGCAGGCCACGATGCTCCTCCGCCTTGGGACCGACAAATATGTCGCCCTCCAAGGCGCCAGCCATTACCCGCACATGCTTTGGTCTGCCAATGCTGTAGGAAAGGCATGTAAATTGCTTAACTGGGAACTGGGTGTTTAGTATATTGATTAGCAATACTTACTAATTGGGAAACCTGCACTTTGGAATGTGCTCGCCAGCAAAGCCGGCTTTGATCACACCGGAGCCCTGAAAAAGTATTCATTTGGTATTTAATATTTGTTTACAGATCATACATTAATTTAAATTAACACTAGTAACATATTTATTACTATTTATTTTTGTTGAAACTATAAAATATACACATTATGGGTTCGAGATCTATTCCCCAGGCAGATATATTGGCTGTTGCGAAGAGTTCACGACTTGAGCGCAAGCCAATCTTAAAATTTGCACCACCCATCGGGCTCTCATGTGTGAACTATCAGAGTCTGGGCGGGATCGATCAATTCTACTTGGACTGTCAGAATCACAGGGATTATTATCGCGATCCAGTTGATAAGGTGCATCGTCCGCCACGATTCTGTCTGCATCCTGGCCCCTGTGGAATTTTGCCTGATCGTAACATTGAAATGCTAAAGGCACCCATCAACTGGGTGCGGGAGCCCCAACCCGTTGTCTATCCGGAAAAATATAATACTCGCTTGCGACTGGATGGTGGCATAAGAATTGCAGCTCACTTTTGGACCAGATCTGCTCAGGCTTATACACGTTAACAAATTGTATCTTCGCAACGAAATTGCATTGTATTTACATTTGTTAATCTTTCAAAATCTTCGAAACAAACTCCATGAATTGGCAATTAGTCATTCTCTTAAACAGTTGAAATGATGGTTGAGAAAGTTTTTCGAACAAAGGGACGAAGCACGGGGAACGGGGCAGCTTGGCTTATTATTCGTGTGTTGGTTTGGTGATGTCACTTGTCGTTTGCCAAGTGCTTGTGGGAGCGGTAGCTAGTGGTTCATCTTCAAAGATCCATGCAAAATAGTACTTACGTTATCAATGACCACAGGCTGATTGACGACGACATCATAAGGCTCCATATTGTGCGTTTATAAAAAAGTTTTGCTAATTTTTCTTATTAAATCGCGGTGTCGTGTGCAGTGTGACCGCGTCGTTTATTGCGTGGAATACCAACATGCTGTCCATGTAAAAAAAAATACCAAATTTGTTAAAGTGCGCTTTCACATAAATTGAATTATGTTTTAATTCTTATGTGAAAGTAGATATTTAGACTTTAAGAGTCAATTAAGTGAAATAGCTTAGAATGCCCTTGTTTGTATTTTGATTGCTTCGAATTCGATTAGGCGCCACATGCATTGCATAGGTGCCGATGACTATCGATACTATCGATGGTGTAATCGATTGTTTCGCTTTATTTTTAATACGAACATTCTATTGTTATGGCTGCATCACAAACGAATCCGGAAAAGAATTCCGAGCTTAAGCCACCGCCTGGCCTAAAATCGTTAATTGATCATTTGATAACTGTGTATCCGGATCAGCCCAATCCACTGCAGGTGACGACACTGCTTAAGTACTGGCTGGGTGGCTCCGATCCCCTGGACTACATCAGCATGTACAGCAACAATGGTCAAGGAGCGGGGGACGAGGAGAGGATACTTCCACACTGGCATTATGTTAGTTTTGGACTGAGCGACTTGCATGGCGATCAGCGGGTGCATCTGAAGGAGGAGCATACCACCCGCTCTGGCATGGGATTCGAGTTAACTTTTCGATTGGCCAAAACGGAGGCAGAACTTCGCCAGCAACGCGAATGCCCAGATAAATCCATTAGGCCACCGACCTGGCCAGCAAATCTATTACAATCCATTGCTCGCTATTGTTTCCAAACTGGGAATGGTTTGTGCTTTGGCGATAATATTCCGTGGCGCAAGTGTTTGGATGGTGGGACAAATTCACGGATGCAAAGTCTGCTAGTGGCACAGGATCCTCAGCTGGCCAGCATTGACACACCCTTTGGCACTGTGGACTTTTGCCAGATAGTCGGCGTCACCGAGGAGGAACTGGAGCAGGCCTCACGCTGGAATGGTCGTGGTGTCCTCAACTTCCTCGCCAAAGATGTGCAGACTGGTGGGGATTGGCTGGTGACGAATCTGCAGCGCACAATGAGCGTATTTGAATTGTTTCCCGAGACGCTGCTCAATCTGCAAGACGATCTGGAGAAGCAGGGCTCCGATTTGGCCGGAGTGAATGCGGAATTCACGTTCAGGGAGCAAAAGCCAACCCAGATGATTAAGCAAGAGATTGACTTCCAGAGCCTGAACGAACGCTGCGCCAGCGATGAGAACAATCGACCACTGACAGACTCCCAGGTGAAACGCGAGGAACCAAGTTTTCCACAATCCATGTCGATGAGCAGCAGTTCCCTGCACAAATCCTGTCCACTGGACTATCAGCCTCAGGCGCCCGATTGCATATCGCTCGATGGCATTGAGATCACACTGGCGCCCTATGCTGCGAAGTATCTGCTACTGGCCATAAAAGTAAATCAAAAATTTAATTCTTCTGTATATGATTTACTTTATGTTTTTATTTCTTTCCAGGACCGCATACGTCATGGTCGTCATTTCACATTTAAGGCCCAGCACTTGGCCTTAACCCTCGTCGCTGAGACGGTTACAGGAGCCGCGGTTAGCGTTAGTGAACCGTTTGGGGTACTTGGCTATTGGATTCAGGTGTTGATACCCAATGATCTGGTGCCGCGCATGATGGAAGCATTTTGCAACGCACAACTGAATGGGAAGACGGAGCCGACAAAGCGTCTCGAATTCGATTGGCCCGATAAGAATTTTAAGCTAATTGTGGATCAACCGATTTGTGCGGCGCCGCTGCCCGCAGCAATGTCCATTGAGGCGCCCATCAACTGAACAGCTTATTTAATACTAGTATTATAAATTAACTGAAAAATGAATCTTCCACTAACACGTAAGTTTAATATATATATATATTCAAATATACTCATACATTTTGTATATGTAGTCTCAAAATATATAAAAGTCCACGTATATATTTTGCTTTGTATGCTTGCTGGCGCCGGAGTCAATGTTTGCTGATTATAAGATGTTTTTTTTTGCTGCTAGTTTGATGTGTTTGGACACGAAACGGATATGGTCAATTTATACTGGCATAAAATGCCGCCAGTTTATGTTGGACTTCAGTTTCTAATTCTGGGAATTGGAATCAATTGACAATTATTATTTTTTGGTCTCACCAAATCCACAACAATTCATTGATGTGGCTGTCTGCCTTTCTCACTGTCTGCCAATTGATCATGTGATTTCAGTAAAAACGGATGTATCTCAGTTTGTACATCAGTTTTAATTGTTAAGGGTCCCCATCAATGGAATGCGTTCGCTCTTGTAGCATTTGTTTTTGTGGACATCTTCGTTGCGGCCGTTGCGTTGCCAACGGTTACCGCAGACTTGAACATTATTTTGTTTACTACAGAGAGAACGAGCGCTCAGGCGGCTGGTCTCACGTTGTCAATTTGTGCTCCGATTAGGCGCCTCGTGAGTGACAAATTTCTTTCAGTTTATTTTATTTTTTTTTTTGCTCGTGTAAAATAATTGAATTATATTTCATTCCGTTGCCGGCAACGTAAGCGTTCGGTCGTGTTTTTACCTCTACGCAGTTCGCGCAGCGACTTCGTCTTGCACTTGTTCAGTGGCGTCGATACGCGCCTCGCAATATTCCAACGGGATCGCCCCAAAGTATAACAAATTATAGTGCATTTATAAATACATCGATTAGGCGAAACACAACCTCTGCCATGTAGGTGAAATAGGTGAAATATTTCTCTGTATTTGTTTGCATTGCGTAAGCAGCGCGAGGCTACCGTTGATTCTTGACTGTGACCGCATTCCCCCCTCGCATTGTGGGGACGCCTTCGTCAGAGAGACACGTGCACATTGATAATGTGTCTCACCTCAAAACTTAATAGTTGTACTTGCAGACGAGCTGCAAACAGAAACATCAACAGATTTACAACATTACATTAAAGTGGCTTCATTGTTTTTGCTCGGCTGTGCATATTTTCTAAAAATGTTATCAATTTCGCTCGAATAATGCTAGTCAAAATATTATTATCGCAGACATGCAAAAACCCAAATTCTTGCACATATTTACACATATATATATATATGACTTCTGGTTTTTTATGCAACTTACATATATGCCTATATGTTGTATGTGTTAAATTTCATTGGTCATGACCATGAAGGAAAGAGTTCTTGTTTAAATAAGTGCTTGGGGTACACAATTTCTGCACTTGCACCAGATATTTTTGTGCTATGTTGATATTGACTGTTCTTGAACTGTGCATTTATTTATTATTGAGAAAGTAAATACTTTGTTAAGCTTACAGCTTATGTTTGCCCCTGAACCAATATTAATTATGTTTTCAATGGTTCTTTAATATTAATTTGTGAGATGTGAGTGATAGTAATATTTGTCGGACTGAAAATTAATTTATAATCATTGATTTTGATTGTGTTTATTAAAAAATTATCAGAAATTAACATGGCTAAATTTCATATTTTTGACATTCTTTTCAATTTATTTTTGTAAGAAAGTTTGTGATAATAAGATATTTAAAATATTATATTTAAAAAAAACAATATTAAATTATTTTGAAGTTTAAAATAATTTGTTAAATTATTTGCGTATGTTATAAACTTGTGAAATCAAGATTATAATACCAAACTATTTACCTTTTGAACAGAAGCAGCTTAAAGTAGAAATCTAGTTTTTATATATACAAAATATATTCGTTATACATTTTCTGATTTGATATACATGTAGATGCATCAGCTTCTTCTCATATTAAAGTGTACAAGTTCAAGAACCATATCGAGTCTCCTAAATTACATTTGTCTTAATTGCAGTTGACAAACCAGCGGGGCATATAATGATAATTACAATTGTATTTAAGATCGCGTCAGTTTAGCAACTGTGTTGAGTTTTTTTTTTTTTTTTTTTGTTTAGATACGTTGACTGCTTGGGTCGTAAACCGCATAGCCGCAGATCATATAGTGTCAAGTGAGAGACGACTTGTAATCAGTTTGAAATTTCAGAAACCACTCAAAGCCATGGCCGAAAACGAACCGCTCGATGCAGCTGCCAGTCAACCGAACGGACGGATATTGAGCGCTGCGGAACGCTCAAATGGACACGCAAAGCAGGTCAGTAACGGACATGGAAATGGTCAGGTGGTGCACAAGGAGAAGTCCACTAATGGGAAACATGAGAATGGTGTCCAGAAACCACAGCATATCGAGGCGCCCTGCTGTCGAGATATACACGGCAAGGAGCCGCCGGATGGCGGTACTCGTGCCTGGCTGGTGATGATCAGCGCCTTCCTGTGCAACGGCGTCATCTTTGGCCTGATCAACACTTACGGTGTGCTGCACAAGCTTTTAACCGAACGACTAACGGCACTGGGCGATACGGAAGCCAACAGCAAAGCGGGTAAGCCTCTGTCTTTTTTGATTATTGATATCTATTGGTATGGGTGGGATGGAACAGCTGTATACGGAGAGAAAAACATCAATATTGATTGTCTACCCAAATCAAGCACATTTTATAGATAAACTGATTAGAAATTGTATTAGGTCTCATAATTCAAGTTCTAGATACTGTTTTAAATTTTGTGCCGCCCATTTTAAGTATACATTTCGTAGCAAGTACATTTGATCAACTTTGTGAATATTTTAATTATATTTCTTTACTTTTCTCTCTGTGTAGCAATTTGCGCACGTACTTAATCCTTTCAAAGCAGGGCCCAAGGCAAATTGATTCGGAATTCGTGGCAATCCTCAATTGATTGTAATTATGCACAGATTAAGTTGATGGGAATTGAACAGTTGTTTTTCACATCGAATGTGTATTAATTACTTGAACATTGATTTATGCACAAAACAATTATGTACATATGGCCTTCATCACATACATACTTACTATATATACATACATATAATATTTGCATGAGCGATAACAATTTTGAGCTTAAGGGAAAATTTCTGTGTATTGCATGCGCTGATTTGTGCCTATCAATAGCATCTTTGTCTGAGTATGATGTAAATATTCATATTTAGTACTTCTTTCTACTTAAATTCATTAGTGGCCAGTGCATTAAATAATTAACACTTGAAAATAAAAAAAATCAGAAGAATATAAATCATAAAACAATTGGACACCGTTTAAAATATATACATATATATATATATATATTTTTTTTTTCAATTGATTTTGAAATTTCTGAAGTTATTGAAAAGGTTGATGGAATTTGTTACTTAAGAGCTGGACAGTTACGGACACACTATCCCGCCAGATATATTCCTGTGTCGCTTGAGTTCAATAAAACTTGGCACATGTAAGAGTACCCATATATATATCAATGTATATATATATATATATATATATATATGTGTGTAGATGCATACATATATGCATATATGAGTCGCTGTGCAAGAGCAATATGTCGACGTCAAGTGAATTAAATTGCTGAAAGTTTATTGGATCACAAAACGTTATTCAACACGGCAATGACGATGTCAAGTCGCTGGAGTCGATGAGAGTTTGCAGCTGAATAATTTTGCGTACTCAACTAAAGGCATACACCCTGCAAAAAGAAAATATGATCGAAAGCCGACAAAAAGCGCACTGAAATCAAAAAATATATAAGAACATACTCAGTTTTCGGCATAAGATTCTTAAAAGTGAAAGTTCTTGCAGTGGACAAGTAAGACTATGTTATATATGCATATCACCTCTGGAAAAGTATTTTGTTCTTTAAGTAACATATTTTTTAAAACATATAAAAATAATTTTTAAAAATGTTCTGAGTTGTTATCTAGAAATACGTAAAATGCCTGGATCTTTCTAAATTCTTGAACATATTTTTTTCCGAGTGTAATACACATAATAGAACATGCACGTTTTTTGGTGTGAAGTGGTCTGGGCCGGAAGAGGCTCACAATATGTGAATCGCAACTATTGATAGAAAAAAATTGATGACGTCGTGTGTGAAAGCAAAGCAAAGTTCAGTTGATTTAAAACTTGTTTGTCAAGGTTTGTTCTTCGGGGTTCGCTGACATTGTCCATATTGTCCGCGTATGGCGGCTTTTTGGCTTGGTGAATGGGGTGGTAGGTGAACGATGCTTCCAAAGAATACCAGTTGCATTGGCACAAAAGACAAAAGACAAAAGCCGCGTCCAAAGACGCCACATAATGAGTGGCACAATCGCACAGGCCGCATGCCACATGCCACTGACCCAGTTACTTGGTCGACTGGCTTTTGGCAACGACTTGGAAGCCCTCCAAGTGCGTCGACGCTTGACAGCGATCCTCCAGCATTGGGTCACCAGCTAGAGCAGCTCTAGCGCTGGCTCACCTGACCGGTTGAGTTGAATTAGTTCCGCTATATGACTAAAGCTTCACTTAATCCGAGTCCAATCCACCGTATTACAAACTTTACATTTTAACGTATTAATTGCAAGTCGTATTTTAAATATACCAGTATATATTTTATAGTAATCAAGAAGGAGTTCAGATTGATTTATTGTAATCAATAATGAAACTCATTATAATGAATTCATTATAATTTATTCAATTCATAAATATAATCTGCTTCTAGAGTTTAAACGTTGAGTTCATGGGATTCGATACAGTATATATGTAAATACGTTGTTGTTTTGATTTTTCAAATGGATTAAAGACGTCACAATTGTAATGAATGAATGCCCGAGCAACTTGTTGTATGATTTGAATAGGGCCGTACAGTTTATGTAAAAGTGATTGTGTTTAAATTGGAAGGGTTTTTTCGATATACATCTGTACATTGTTGATGAAAACAATTATAAAAAATGCACTTGAAATATGTGATAATTTATGCATTTGGAAAACGGGCTAATTAATTGAAATACAAATATTTGAAATATGTAAGTATATTTAAAATATTTCTTACTATGATCATATCCTGTGCGTTTTTTATGTGCAATCATCGAAATTTCCCATTAAAAGTTGATGCAATGTTTGTTGTGATGCAGTCAGTTTGGTGTTTTGTTATTTTTATAGACCCTTGGCAATGTTTCAAAAAAGTATTATCTAATATGTGGCACTCATACACTGTCTCTCTCTCTTTCTCTCTCTCTCTCTCTCTCTCTCTCTTTATTCTCAGTTCGCTCAGGCAAGTATTAATGTGCACAATGCTATTAACTGTCACTGCCTTTCTCTCTTTCTCTCTCTTTCTCTCTCTCTCTCGCTCTCTCAGTCTATCTTTGCCTGCGGTATTTTGCCGACCGGGAGCCGGCTTTGACTGCGTGGCATTGACATTGAAATGTGGCTGTTCTGTTTGTCGGGTTGCCATAGCTGCCGAAATTGCAAGAGTACTATATCCGGACGGAGCGTGTTTAAGTGCATGTGCGAGATACAATTTGTGTGTGTGTGTGTGTGTGTGTGTGTGTGTGTGTGGGTCTGGGTGTGTGGGCTGAATATTTTTGACGGTATTGATTTCACTGGGGTGCTTGGCAAAATGCGGACATGATTTGCACAGCCTTCAAGCGAATGTAGGTCAAGTCTAATTTTACGATAATGCAAAATCTAAAAATAGAGAAAAATATACATTTCTGTATAAGATAAATATTATAGTTGTATATACCTTTCTTCCGTCGATTTAACTAGTATTTGTAGCATTCTATATGAGCAACTAATCTATTGTTCTGTTCTTCTTTGAGCTGTCAGTGAACAAGCTAATTTTCATAGATGGCAGCTGCTTCATTTGCATTTAGCGATACTGAACGTTGGCAGTCTTGATTCCTACCCATGCTGACTTATCACATTATACATTATCACGGCATTCGGTCATTTGCAGTATGTGCTTATCAAAAATGGGTCGTTGATGCATACATTGGACTAAGAACTAACCCAAATCTGTCAGTTAAACGTGTTGTTCACGTTTTAAAACTACGTGCGAAAGTGTTGACTTTTTATGCATCGATTGCTAACAAATATATGTAATGACAAAGTGCATTTTCCACATGGAAAGTGTCTGACAAATTATTAAAAACTTATATGCATATATTGAAATTAAAATATGACATTAATTTTCATTTAGGAAGTAAATGAGCGAGCTAAAAAAATTTGGAAAGTATTAAAAAATATTGCTGACTGCATTTCACAATCAAATCTATTGAAACCTTATCCGCATATATCCAATAGCTATCACAGTTGAGTCACACGATCGTGCAATGCGTGCAAATTAAATTGGACTTCAGTTATGAGTTGCACAGCTTCAACTGTCGGCTGCTGGCTGTGCAGAATATGGAAAAAACAGTTCAGTTCACAATTAACCGCAATTACGTGAGATTCGATTATGTAAATTAAACGATCGGTATGCCGAGATATACAGTCGAATTTCTCTAAGCAAAACCACAACTTAAAGACTTCAAGTTAAAGAAAAAAACAATAAAAACTTCCCATCCAGGCGTATTAAATTGTTATTATTATTATTGTTGGTAGACAACTATTTTGTTTATTTTATTTTTATAAAATATATAAGCCAAAGAAATCACTTTATTCATCTCTTGCAGCTCTGGTTGGCTCCTTGACCATAGGCACAACATTCTTTCTGTCGCCAGTAGCTGGTGTTCTCACCGACAAGATTGGCCTGCGACTGACGACCTTTTTGGGCGGTATGCTCGCTTCGGGTGGTTTGTTTCTTTCGTCCTTTTGCTCTGATAATATAAGCGCCATGTATTTTACTTATGGCATTATGTTTGGACTGGGCGGAGCTTTGGCCTATACGCCCACATTGGCCATATTGGGACACTACTTTAAGCGCTATCTGGGCAAGGTGAGCGGTTTTGTTACGGCTGGTTCCAGTGTATTTACGGTTATACTGCCACCTGGATTGGATAGTCTGCTGAGAATCTATGGCCTGGAGACGACCTTAAGGGTGAGTAACTTGAACATAGTTGACGAGTAGTTTCTAATTCGCTCTTCCCTTACAGCTGATGAGTCTCATGGCGGCATTTATAATAGTCTGTTCGTTTGTCTACAAGCCCCTGCATCTGCCAGTGGACTCGCCCAAAAAGAAGAATGGACGTTCGCGATTTAATGTGTTTCTACGGTCCATTGTCAATGTGGATATCTGGAAGCGGAAGCGTTATGTCATCTGGGCCTTGTGTGTGCCACTTGCGCTATTTGGTTACTTTGTGCCATATGTGCATATGATGAAGTTTGTGGAAAGCGCGTTTCCCGGCAACGACGTTAATCTGCCCGTCATGTGCATTGGCATTACGTCTGGCGTTGGTCGCTTAATCTTCGGTGTTATAGCTGATATGCCGGGAGTGAATCGGATGTATCTGCAGCAACTGTCGCTTGTTTGCATTGGTCTGGTCACATTGCTGCTTCCTTTGACCAGTTCATATGTGGTGCTCGTGACATTCGCCTTGGTCATGGGCCTGTTTGATGGCTGCTTCATATCGCTGCTGGGTCCGATTGCCTACGAGATTTGTGGACCCTCGGGTGCAACGCAAGCGATTGGCTTCCTGCTTGGCTTGTGCTCTCTGCCCTTGACTATTGGTCCACCTGTTGCTGGCTACATATTCGACAGCACCGGCTCGTATACCCTGCCACTGATATTGGCAGGACTGCCGCCCCTTGTTGGCTCCTCTCTGCTATTCCTCATGCGTTGCGTTAAAGATGACTCGAGTAGTAGTAATACGAATGGAGTTGCAGGCTTACCAAATGGCGACATTGAAAACTCATCCAATGGGGATTACCGCTTGAATGGTAAGCTTAAACCTATAAATTTCTTATATGGATTAGAAAACTTCTTTTTATATTATTCCATTTCAGGCGTAAAGTCTAGTGCACCTCTCATGGGCGAAAATGGAACCAATGGATCATTGCCTAATGGATCATCAATTGGTTTGTACTAAATAAACATAAATACATATTATGAGATGAAGCTTTGTATACTAATTCTTTGAAAAAACATTGATTTTCGAGCAACAGTGTATATATTTATAGATGAATGCCTTTAAATCTCCCTTAAATCATCTTTCAGCCGTGAAGTCCAGTGCACCGCTCATGGGTTCCTCCATAAATGCGAATGGAAGCAATGGCCTAATGTCCAATGGACATGTGGATACGATTGACTCAACATATGGTTCGTACTCAGAATCTCTAAGCCCATCGAGCAACGACCTCGGTCAACGCCCAACTAGTATTACTGCCTGCTGCTTCTCCGATATTTGCGTTCATCCCAGTAGTTCGACTAACAAGCACAATTCGATTCCCATCTCATCTCACACTGCCTTGGTTAAGCACAGTTTCAGATCTCAAACTACGCTAGACGATACTAAGAAACGCCGTTATAAGTATTCCATCTATTAACCACCTATCTAGATGGTTTAAGCAACTTCTTTCGCATTCTAAGGATTATTCCGATCGATATTTAGATATGTGTGTATATAAATTTTTAAATTTTGTTTACAATCTCAAATTCTGGTTAAAGACATTTTCTTAAATATGAATTTCTAACAAATTGTAGTTGTAGTTTCAACCTATGTAGTATTATTTAACTGGAATCTTGGTATAATTTTTTATTGCAATTAATTCCATTTGTGGGGCCATCATATTTTCATCTTCATCGCATCACATACACAATGATTAATATGCACCTTATGCTTCTGTATGATTAAATAATACTGATCTAGTGTTAAATGCTTTGTAGTTCTTAAGTTGCACTGGAAAACCTTTTGTAAAAAAATAAATGCTCACAATTTTTGATTATACTAAATAGTATATTATATATAGTACTATATATATGTAATTTACTGCCGCGCATTGTGTTTTATAATACTTATACGTTTTTTTTGGAAAATGCATGGAACATCTAATAGTGATTTGTAATAAATGACATAAGCTAACCATAACTATCATGTGAATCTTTCAGAGCCACTCACTGACAGGCCCGGATCCTAGATAAAGTCGCTGTCGTCTACTAACTCAAAATTCCACAAAACTTTATCATTGAAACTTCTGCCATTTTAATCTGTTATCATATCGCTATCAACGTATTTAGCGCATAAAGAAAGGTGTTCATTTTGACTTTACTGTACATGAGATGAGTGAAGATGATGTGAATGTACAAATTATGAATAGACCTTTTGTTGGAGAGACTTGTGTACTTTTGATGTACATAATATTGTAATACTTATTTTTCATAAATGTATACTATAGGCTAAGAAATATTTCAAATGCAAAAAAAAAGAAACACAAAAAAAAAAAATAAATAAATAAATAAACTAATAAATATTATAATTAGATAATTGCAATGACTTTCTCTTTATTAAATTTATTTAATTAATTCAGCAGTTTACTTTAGACACTAAATGTGAATCTTTACTTTGACTTTTTTTTTTGTATATTAACCTTTTCTTGTTGACATATTTTAACAACCATTTCAAATGAGGAACTGTTCGCGTTTTCAGCAACAATTTATTAATTATAAACAAATAAACAACAATATGATCGCTAGGCGGATAGGCCTCCATTAAATATGTGGCAACAGGCAACAAATAGTTGGGTGGCTAGGCTTATACAAGTCAGTTAATATATATTGCTACCTGACTCGAATTGTCCAATTGATGACGTATGGGCGCAATTAGCATAGTTCGAGAGAATGTGACTGGTTACTGTTACCCATTTCTGTAAATTACGGCAATTTGTATGCAGTCGCTATCGAAAAATCTAATAAAAAAAAAAGCATGACTTGAGACAATGATTGTTGGGGTTCATTGATGCGTACATCATCTGCAGCCTAGGTGAATTCAAATTTGTAGTCAAAATTTAGCAGCACGCCTCACACAATACACGCACGTCTCTCGGGGCGTATCCGGCGTATAAAAAGTCGCTGCGAACAAAATCTAATAATTATAGTATTGCCGCGCTTCCATACGTTCAGTTCGATCAGTTCGATTCGGTCGGAAACAGTAATCGCGACTCCAAGTGGATATATATTTTGACACCTCTAATTATGTTGACGTGGCAATTGTGGATTACGCTGCTCTTTATTTTGTGGTTCTATTTCTTGTGGACGCGTCGCAGATTCTATTTATTAACTCTAAAGATACCGGGTCCACTTGGATATCCAATACTTGGCATGGCCCATAAATTGTATCGTAGAGAAAGTACGTTTTGAAGTGACCAATTTGAAGTGGCATCAATGATGAGTGTTTGTTTTTTGCTTTGATTGCGCAGATGTGTTGCGAGAATTTGGAATCTATTTGGAGAAGCATGGAACAACCATATTTTCGTGGCTGGGTCCAATACCATTCGTAATTGTCAGCGATCCTCAAGTCATACAGGATATTTTCACTTCCCCACATTGCGTTAACAAGGGTTTAATCTACAAGGCTGTCGATGATGGCGCTGGCTTGGGATTATTTAGCTTGCCAGGTACGCAAAATGAATGTGAAATTCCATAAGCTGTGTACAAATATCTATCAATCATACAAGCCTTAGATATAATTATAAGCACCAAAAGTTAAGAGACAGACATTGTTTTCTATTAATAAAATATTTACATCTATAACATGGATTGAGTGAATTTATATTTCGATTCTAAGATATTGCATTTTTTCCATAAAAAATGTTTTCAGTAATATAAAATATTTTAAATTAATTTGTGTTATATTTTATGTAAATTTGTTTTAAGAAGGTGTAAATAATATACTTAAATTGAGAGAGAATATTTACATAAATAGAGAACACACATTTTTGACATTGTGGAAAAACACTTAAAAGATTTTGCATAGGCGTATCCAGGTACTTAATTGAAATATATGAATTACAATTTGTACCCCACTCTGGCTATGTTATTGAAACCTTGAAAACATATCAGCAGTAAACTTTTTATGATTGAGCAAACAGACTTTACTTTTTCTATCAATCTGACTTATCTTTTTGGTTGATTGCAGATCCCCGCTGGAGCGTACATCGGAAGTTGCTGAATCCAGCATTTGGACATAAGGTGCTGCTTAGTTTTCTGCCCGTGTTTAACAATGAGACGCGATTTCTTTTAAAACAGATGGATACGCTAGTTGGTGAAGGTGAAAAAGATATAATCCCTCTGCTGCAATTCCTTACGCTGAGCATAGCAACTCGTGAGTTATGATTATAATAATTTGGAATAGATTGTATTTGCACAGAGAACGCTTAAAAATTGTTATTTGTTGTTTTATTGAAGTACAGAAACTACAATGGGCAGTGATGTAAAGCTCGATGAAAACCTAAATAACAGCAAATTGATGGAGGATTATCAATGGTGAGTCCTTTTGAACTTGACATAAATGAGTTTTGCTATTCGATAATAGTCTTCTGGAAACCATGACAGATATGTGCTTTTCTCCTTGGTTGATCAATAAAACGGTACGACAGGTGTTTGGCAAGGACGAACATTACTCGGTCGCCAAGACAGAAATACGTGAATTCATCAGAAAGGTAACAATACCAGTATTATTGCAATTTGTATAAAAACCTTAATCTCTGTGTGTCTTTCAGATAATTGAAAAGAAAATGGCTAGAGATTCGGAGATAGGCACTCAATCGCAAGATAAAAATATTTTTCTAAATCTAGCTGTTGATTTGATGAGGCGTGGCACGTTCACCTGGGAAAATGTGGAAGATGAATCGAATTTGATTGTGTTTGGGGCATTTGAGACGACTGCCAACACGGTAGCCTACACATTGATTCTGCTTTCCATGTTTCCCCAGTATCAGGAGAAGGCATTTGAGGAGATTGTCGCTCTGTTTCCGGAAAGCGGGGACTTGGATGTGACCTATGCAGATACACAGGAAATGGTATATTTGGACTTAATTCTGAATGAGTCGATGAGAGTGATGCCGCCCGTGCCAGTCGTATCGCGACAAACGTCTCAGGACTTGCTTCTTACCAACGGAATTGTCGTTCCGAAGGGAGTTCAAATTGCTATTGATATTTTTCACTTGCATCGTAGTAAGAAAATTTGGGGCGAAGATGCGGAAATATTTAATCCGGAACATTTTCTGCCACATTATTTTCAAGAAAAGCATCCCTACGCTTATATACCCTTCACAAAGGGCATACGAAATTGCATAGGTACATTAAAATTTAATACCTATTTGTACTCAAGACTTATTCGAATTTTTAATTTCGTTATATTTTCTTAAGGTTGGAAATATGCTTTGATTTCGATAAAGGTGACCTTGGCTAAATTGATCAGAAACTACAGATTTTCAACCAGCTTTAAATTTGAAGACCTTGTGTTTATCGAGGATATAACCATTAAGCTCAAGAAAGTGCCACAACTGGAAGTACATCGGAGACTTTGATATTTTATGATATATTTTGTAATAATTAATTGCATATTGTATATATATATATATTATGATTTATTTTGTTATATTATTGTTCAATGGGATAATCATATGAATTTGGAAAGTTTATGACGTTGTTAATATATGAATTGTACTATAGAAATCACATATCAATAAATAAGATTCCTACATTCCTACAAATAAAATTGTTTCAAATAATATCGTACCTTATCGATACTTTTCAGGCTTGTCCAGCACTATTTTCAGCCAAAATAGCTTCGATGTTATCGCAAAGCACGATATATCGATATAAGTTGTTAGCTAGCCGGCTGTGAAATAATTGTATTTAGTGGTAATTGTGTTGCAATGTCGTCGCTTACAGATGTCTTGGATCTAAATAAAACGGAATTGTTTGCTAAAATACGCAATGGCCTACCGATTGTGCCCCAAACACAAAACCTGCTGGACTGTAAAGATGATCTGCTGTATGCGTGGGACTCCAATGAATCCTGCCTGCTGGTCACAAATTGGCGCGCATCTTTATTGCAACAGGAAGCGACGAAGCGTGCCAAAGTCAGCTATCAGACGCTGATTCCATCGCACACAGTCGGCCTGCATGTAGAGCGTGTTAACGCCTCTCAAGAGGGCTCCTTGGTGGCATTGAGTGGACCGCGAGGTGTCTTCATCTTAGAGGTACCTCGACGATGTGGACCCGATGGCAATTTCATGGACGGCAAGCCCTCAATCACGTGTCGTACATATAATCTGGATGCGCAGCTCTTCAAGAGCAATCCGCAGCTGGAGGTGCGACAACTGCGCTGGCATCCGGATTCCGTTTCCGATTCGACGCTTCTTGTGCTGCTCTCGAACAACACAATCCGGGTATATAATCACTCAAAGCTGCGTCATGTGTGGAAGGTTGGTCCACACTCAGTAAAAACAAGTGCAAATAGCTCTCTAACAGATTTCGGTGAAACGTCGGTTGATTTTGACATTGCACCCGCTGTTAAATCTCGCACCACAGCTGAGACTAAAACAGATGACAGCTTGGCCAATAGTTCAACGGCAACGGCCAAAGCCAAAAAGGAGAAGGTGGAGTGGCCAATTGTTGTATTGCGTGAGAATGGCAACATTTACATATTACTCGCTGGGATTGACTCTGCGATAACACGTCTCCAGGGACCCATTACAATAACACCGCAGGCGAGCGCCAATTATGGATTGGAGTCGTGTGCTCTGCAGATTATACCTTCATTGCCGCCAACTGTAATCATTGCGGAGTCAACGGGCAAGTTGCATCATGCCTTGTTGCTGGAGGCAGAATCTGCAGAGCTGTCGTTCAGCGAAGTGGATGATTTTTTGCTCATCGAGCCATCGGAATGGACACTGCACGTGACCGAAACCGTTGAGCTGGAATTGGGTCTCTCAGCAGCAACTGGCGACGCTTACAGCTGCCCCATACACTTGAAACGAGATCTTATCAATGAGATGCGTTACTTTGCCTACCACAATGCTGGATTGCACATCGTAACTGTGAACTTTATAGCTGAACTACAGCGATTTCTGGACAGCGAGGCAGAGGACAATCAACTGATTCTAACGACACCCTCGAGTGCTGAATATATTCTGTGTACCAAATTCGATTCCACTGAGCACACAAATCCAGTCCTTGGCATAGCTCTTTTGCAAATGCCCGCCGGACTTGTTCTATTGTTGAGCAGCGGACAGGTTATCAGCTTAAAGCTGGTCATCGATGCCCAACTGCTCGTTACAGTTCGGGAGAAAGTGCAGCATACATCTAATGATACGGCAGTGGATCAGCAGGGTGGGACTTCATTCGCGGACGATATCAAAGCGCTGCTGCAGCGTAGCGTAAGTCAGCCAATCCTTGCGGACAAGCTGGCAACGCAATCCGCCCACGAGCGTTATGAGCTGCTCAATCAGGCGATCGAGGTGCTGCGTACCCAATACTTCAAGCGACATGAGCTGGTGCGCTCGGAGTTTGCCAAGCGCATCAATTGCATCAAGCTGCAGAGGAAACAGCAGCTAGAGGAGATCAAGAGTCTGGAGAACGAGCGAGAGATTATCAGTGAGCGAGCCCACAAGCTCGCCGAGCGCTTCGAGGAGATTAGTGATAACCAGGAGGTGCTCGTGCGACGCTGCCAGAAGTTGATGCAGGATGCGAATGCCAAGCTGCCCAACAGCATTCGTGCTGAACGTGAGTTTGCCTTGGAGGTGTCTCGTATCAATACAGACACCAAGACCATGGCGGCCGCTTTGGACAAGGCCAAGAAGGGGTTGAGCAAACAGCGCTATCATATTGCCAAGTCACAGGAGAGTGCCAAGACCGATGCCTATAAGCTGCCAGAGAAACAGCATCGCACCATCACCGAGATCTTGACCCAGCTGTCCAGTGAGATCGAGCGGCAGATAACTGATGCTAAGCGTATAAATAAGATTATGGGTGTATAAGTGAAGCCTAAATATGTATCCTAGGTTAATTTCATATAATGTATTTGTGCTCCTGTTAAAAATTGAAACAACATTTTCATATTTGTATAATTAAAACTAACAAAAATAGACTTGGACGTAGTTTTGGATCACGGCTTATATCCAGATACATTTTTGTTTACAGTTGGAAGTTAAATAATTTCTCGGATGTTTATTAATATTTTGATTCTGCTGCACGTGCCTTGTGAATACAGATGAGGCCGTAAACAAAGCTAGACGTAAATTGTCAACAACAGAGATAGACATGCTGACGATAATGAAAGCGTTAAATATAAAAACAACAAATTTGTCATAAATAAACCTCCCGACTTTAGATTATTACGAACAAGAAGGCTTATAAATACGCACTACTTTAAACTGCACGCTTTTCTTTGTTTTTGTGAGGTCTCTTTTTGACCAGCTATTTCACATATGGATATATACACTGGATATGTGTATGCATTCATCCTCAACATATGCACATTTTAAACTACGTTCAATTACAATATGACATACAGTTGTAGTTTGTATCTACACTAGGAAAAATAGTTGTTTCGATAAGTTAAAATTCTGCAAGCTAAGCAAAAACTGCGACTGATATTTGCTATGATCGGAATGAACTCAAAAAAGTTCCTCAAAGTAAGGAAATAAATTTCTATTAATAAAATATTATTTTCTTTGACAAATTTAATATCAAAGCTATCAATGACTTGACTAAGTTTTTAATCTAATTCAAATATTTGTATTTTGATTGTAGACAATTTTCACTGGGCTTAATACGTAATCCACTTGTAGGAGAAATAGCTATTTGTTTATGCATGTGTTTGTTGAACCTCCATCGAAATCGATTCAGAAAATTTGAATGTCTAAGGTGTTGTATATAGGTGATTTAAAATTCTTTTTTTCTTTTTATTTTATATTTTGCGTTTCAGTTGCTTACTGCGCTGTCTGTCAACAGTTTGTAAGCGAACCTTTTGGAGTCGATGTCGTGTCCAATTGTGACTTGTAGAAATGACATCGGTAATTCTGCGCCGATTGGCTGTGATCTGTACGCAGATGTCGAACTATATAAAAACCAATTCACCCTTCGTGATTGAGGCGCTAATGGTGTCGCTGTGCTTTGGCGCCATTATAAGCCGATACATAGTACTAATATAGTTGATGAATATACCATAATCATGTGAATAATAATAAAAATGACAAATCGACAACTTTCTCTAAATAGAACTAAATTTGTATTTGTATTTGTGTGTGTGAAAATACGAAAATTGTGCGTGGCAACACATAAAATGTAAGGAACTTAAACCTTAGTGGGCTTCTCAATCAGATGTATATAGAATGCGGGATTCTCCACGACATTCATTTCCTTAAAATCACCAAAGAGTTTATGTTTGGACTGGCTGCCAAAGATTTCTCGAAGGATATCCGTGAAGCGTTTCAGCTCATGCGGAAAATAGGAAAGACGGAACTCGCTGGCCAGCTTGTTACCCTCGATCTGATAGTCCATGGAAACCAGAACTGGCTTGCCGCAATAGAACAAAACGGATGTTTTTATGTCCGCCGTATGGCTTGTCTATAACATTGAAAAAAAAATAAATATATATATATATAAATGTATATGTATTTGTATATAAATATGCAACTAATTCGGTGGGGCGATTAAAATTGTTGATGATGATGGTGCTGTTTTCGTCACTTTGTTCGTGCGAGCTTAGCTTTTGTCTATTTAAAGCGAGTTTAAGTGAGTTATCAATTCGACGATGATTGGTCATATTTAACAAATTATGAACTCAGCACTCAGTCAATGAAATGTGTCGTTTAATACTTTTTAATTGGAAATTATGTGTGAACATGACAAGTAGGTACTGGGAAACTTACGTTATAGTAAATGCTCTTAGCGGGTGTAGCGCCAGTCTCCAGGATGTTATCATAATTGCGATGGTCTATCAGCAGAATGCCACCGGGCTTTAAGCATTTCTCAAAGTTCTTGATGGCTTGCTTGTGTTCACGCTGATCACCAAAGCTGTCGGTCAAATGGGCAAAGGAATTGCCGAGGCAAATGACGGCATCGAAGCCAGCCTGACGATGTTCCCGAATGTCATCGTACAGGGTTAGCCAATTTGCCTCCTCAATGGCTATGGGATAAAGGTCAGTCCTGGGTAAACACTTGCAGAATTTCCCTACTTACTCCAATTGTCAAAGGCAGCCTCCTTGCGACGATTCCAGCGCTCCTTCAGAGCGTATTTCAACATTTTATCGGAGGCATCAACGGAAGTCACCTCAAAGCCCTCTTCCAGCAGCATTATGGAGTCAACACTATATATATTTTTATACATATATATATTTACATATATACATATTTATATATACAAGTATAGTCGGCTTTTTGTCTTACCCCGTGCCGCATGCCACATCCAGGATGCGCTTGCAGCCCTTCTTGCGCAACAAGTCGACCAAGAAGTTCTTGTAGTTGTCCGTGCGAGAGTTCTTATCACCGATGAAAATCTCCCACACTTTAGCTGCTTTACCATCAGCATATTGATCGCGCACTCCTTCGGCGGAAATGCCATCCGACCGGGTGACGAACACACTATCAGCTGAGGTTGGCATCTTTCAAAACGTTTCGCCCTGGCCAGCAGTTCAAACAGAAATAAAATTTCAATTCGAAATTACTTTCCATATAATCTCCGGCTGGTGAATTGCAATCACCAACAGCTGCCTCCCCATTTCATACACACACACACACCTACATAAATATATATTTATATATACATACATACAAATATATTCTATCGCAATCTTATCAGTCCCCACCGAAATTGACCCGAGCTGGCAACGGTTCAGTCCCGAGATCCAAAGCAACATCTGCTCCAAGCGTACACGTTTTGTTTTTTTTTTTTTTTCGGTGACTTGGCTTTGACCTTGTTGTGCTTAGTCCCGATTAGCCTGACTCAACGTAATTGAAATTATTTTTTGACAACAATACGTCATGCCATATCAAAGAAGCTCCCAAAAGTAGATATTGTACTTTCAACCTGCATATTAAAATAAATCAATTGATTTGATGTGGTCATCATGCTATTGAAAAGGTTAAAAAGTCAATATTGATAAGCGAAATGAAAAAAAAAACACGCTCGACAATTTTATATATAAGCTTGATTCACTTAATTAATCAAACTATTAAAAACTATTTAACAACAACAAGTCTTATCACATTTTGTTCGCCAGAAAAACAACCTTTTTGACCAATGCAGGGGGTAGAATGATTTCGGAATAAAGTGTGTAACGCATTGAAGCAGTCGTTTCCGATTCTATAGTAAATATACATATAATCTTGATAAGCAACATTATCCGCTTGAATATTGCAATGTCTGCCTGTCTGTGGGCTTTTTAAAAGTGCAATGATACAGAGAGAGTTGAGGGAGTTTTGCTTTGTAATGCACGTGAGAATGTTTTTTGAACTACAACAATTATTGTGGACTGGGTCTTGTCGTCATGTAGAAATACAAACATTTTATACAAGCATATATGACACAATAAATCCGCTCAATGATCAATTGCATTATCCAAAGGATTTGTTGGTAAAATTTTAAAAGTTTCCAGAATCGAATGTGTAGCATTAGTTGTAGATTACTTAGATCAATAATTGGCACATATAATTTGACAAAAATAACTTGACTTCTCTTCCAAAAATAATTTGTCATATAGGTTCGATTTATTTCAGTATACTTAATAAATATTGCACTGCTTTGATAATTAGGATTATATATTGTTATATGTTATATGTTGTTGTGTTGGTATTCGTATTGCACGTGTTCGTTGTTTTTTTTTTTTTAATTTCTTAAGGATTAATGTCACGAGTTCGTATAGGTATATTTATAAATAGCACAAAACTTTAATAATGTCAAGTCATGATTACGTTTCCCAAGATAATTATTTACAGCTTATAGGCCACAATTATCTTGGGAAACATAAGCGGTCTTTATAATAATATATGATCCCTATATAAGTAAGTGTGTATATGTGTGGCTGTGAGTATGTTGTTTAGATAACTTAGCAACTAACTACATTTATTGTATTCAAACTCTATGGCAAATACCCTAGCGAATCCTCGAGAGATGCGCTCACGGCCCGCATGGATTGATAGCTGGCCATGCGACTTCTGCTCACACTGCTTCGAATGGAGGCAGCCTTCTCCAATGCCTTGATGTTGCTCAAAAGATCGTCGGCACTGCACGATTTCTGAGATCCATTCATGTGCATCGGCAGGGATAGGGGTATGACCATGGGATTGCCAAGTCGATCGCTGCTGAAGGATTCGCGTGTGCGATAGAGGGATCGGCGCGAGGCGTTCGAATGGCAACTGCCGTTGCTGGACCGCATCGCGGGCTTCTGGCTGATCATCGGTGGACAGAGACTCTTGATGTCCGTCGTCTGACTTAGTTTCATGTCGGCAAACACAGCGGCAGCCTCCACACTCTTCTTCACGCTGAGTGCCTCATGGGGCTGCACTGGCTTGCTATTGCCACCGATCGTAAACAGTTCATAGTCCAGGCCCAGTTTCTCACTGGGTTTACCCTTCCTCGGCGCCGCCCGTGATTTGGGGCGCTGATTGAGTGAATCCTCGCTAACATTGGCTGCATTTGCAATTGCACGCTGCCGGAGATGGGAGCGTTTGCAATAGCATTTGCTGGCACTCACACAGCTATCCGTATCGCACCAGGTCGTCGTGTCCGAGTGCGCATTGGCCGAGTCGTGCTCCAGTGTGCTGTTCGGCTCCTCCTCCACCATGGAGCAATAACACTTCTCATCTGACTTGCACGAGATCAACGAATGCCGGTTGCCACCAACCGTGCCAGTATTGACAGTTGGCTTACGTGAATTAGCCATGGCCATGTTTCTCTCATTCTTCTGCCGCAACTTATGATTGAGATGCTCCGTGCGCAGGCTGCAGTAGCAGCGATCAGCGGAGGCACACGTGCAGGATTCCGAGTCATAGCTGCACTCGGAACAAGAGACATACCTATTTCGATTTGATGTATTTTTATTATTAGTTGTCATTCAAATATGTTTCCATATTTCATGTAGGTTAGTCATTTGTGCTTACCCACTGCTGCTGTTACGATTGAGTCCTTGCAGGGCATGTTCATTGCGCACCACGGATACATCCGATCCACTGGTTGCCACCCGATTTCGTTGACGCGGCTGCGAATGGCTTTGGCTAGTTGGCGGCCCAATGACGATGGGCGGCGTTAGGCGTCGCTTGTTGGACTCCTCTCGGATTGCCGGTGGCTCCTTAGTGCGTGCTGGCTTGGCCAACTTGCCGCGACAGGAGCGAAATTGTCCCAGCTGAAAGACTTTCTTCAGGCTTTTGGTGCCAAAAAACATGCTCTTCGGTTTTTTCTAAAATCCCAATTGATATACGTTTAAATTAAAAACAATATTTAAAATTAAGAATTCTTATTTTTAATTTCTGGATAGCTCTAATAATATCGAGTGGAATTTTTACCTGTGACCCATTTCCGCTTGTCTTGCGCTTCTGCTTCTTCTTCTTCTGGCGACGCATTATATTCTTGGATCGCTGAAAGAGCTCGTCCTGTGTGAGTGTAACGGCCAGCTTCAAAAGGAACTCCTTATATATGGGCTTCAGATCGTTGAAGGACATGCCATCGGCATCGATTATGGCATATAGAATATCGTCCAGCGAGTGCAGATTCTCATGGAGTCGAAATTCATTGAACAGTTCACTGAAACCAAGTGGGGAACTAGAAGCACAATTCAAACGATGCCAATCAACCAAACCAAACCTTCTCACCCAGGTTGCAAACTATGTTAAGGCCAACCCACTGGCCAGCGTCAGCTTCAGCTTCAGTTCGTAGACGAGAGCTGACCCTGGCCCCTATGGTTAGTATAAATACTCACCCTCCACCACCACCGCCGCCCAGTTTGCCGGAATTTGTGCGCCTTGCCGCTCTCGATTTGTATCGCGTTAATCCACCCGTGTTGAGAAAGCTCCCCGATCTCGGTATTGCTACACGTGTCAATATATCTCCATCGCCGGCAGCTGCTGCAACTGCACTGGCACCCACAAGATCGCTCATCTTGCGGCCATTGGGCGTTGGTGTTGTGGGTCGCTTCACATGCCCGCTGTGCTGGTGATGCAAACGATTTACATGTCCATTGCTGCACATGACGTTATTGCTTGCGTTGTTGCCTTTGTTTCGGCCGGAACCACTCTTGTAGATTCCGGGAACATTTGGAGCCGGTACGGGCGGTGCACGTTTCGTCTTGTGCGATTTGCGTTTACGTTCCTCCGTCGAGGTCTCGATCTCGGCTGCCTCATTGATCACATTACTGTTGGAGCTGAGCGAGCTGCTCGAGACGCGCTTCTTGCGCGTGGAACGTGACGGCGTCGATGCCCCAACACCCATTAGCTTGGGACTCATGCCGGCCAGGCTGCTGGTGCCAGCACTGCTGCGAAATGAACTGCGACGACCACTGGGCATTATCTGTGATCGTGACAGATAGTTGGAGCTGGTCATCGCCGAGCTGCTCGCAATGCTGATGCAACTAACGCCGTTCTGCTGTCGAGGCGTTCGTCGCTTTGTGCTCCGGTGCGAATTGGTGCTCACATGCGCCATCAGGCTCTGATACAGAGTGGCTGCTATGACAATCGCATCCTCAGTGCTCTTGCAAATGAAGCCGTGGCATTCCAGTATTTTTGGAGCGCTGGCCGAACGCATCACAACAGCAAAGATCGGCGCATGCATGTGCTCACTTTGCTCCACAGCCAGTTGCTCAATGCCGCTGGGAATAGAAATGGTTAAAAAAAAAGTTTAACTAAGAAGACACTAAGAAAAATAAAAATCTGGAATAGAAAATACTCATCTAACACTCAGAAAACAATCTCTATTCAATGAGGTAATTGCTTACCTCAGTGGCTGGAATAATGCAGTCTTGTCTATATTGTCTGGATCGGTAATGAGTGGCAAAAATGCCGCGCCTCCATCCGTGTCGGATATGACAAATTTAACTGCCGACCACACAGCAATGTTGTGAAAAGGTGTAATATTGGAATCGAAGTCGTCGCTGCTTGAAGATGACGTTGCGCTGATTTTGATTCGCAATCCTGTTGCACAAATATCCAAAGCACCCGATTTGAGCTTCTGCAGGAATTGTTTTGAAAACATTTAGCAAAATGGAAACTTCTTAATTATTTGTGTAATTTTGCACCTTTTTCGTAACCTCAGCTAGATATAGCTGACGCAGTGGCTCTTGTAATCCTTGTAGACTGGTCACCTTATCCTTAAGCGGCAGACTGCCTAGGCAGGTGACATCGAAGCTATTTGTGGCATCCTTGGCCACATCGGTGAAGAGCTGCTCGATTTGAGCCTGAACGCTGTTGCTAATGCGCTGCACATCGTTCTTGGCCGCCTCGGCCAGCACCTTGGCCGATTCGCCCGTCTCCTGCAGGAAACTGCTCAGCGATGGCGGCTTATCGCCCGTGGTGCTGGCCAGCTCACTACGTCCATACATGATGATGGAACGCGTGCGATGCGATCCCCTCGGATCGTCGAGGCGGTTGCTGCGCATTGATCTGCACACAGAAATGAAGGAATTTTTATAATACTTTTGTAAATAATATTACTATTAATATTATTATTTATATTATAATTTATTTATTAATAAATAAATATTATTATTAATGTGCTGCTGTACATTTGAATATATGTATTTATATGCGTACAATTGCGCCAATAACATGCTTGACATTTATCAACACTACTATCGTTATTGCTATCGTGAGTTAAAATATCGTTCGGAAGAAAAACATAATTACTAAAATAAAACTAACAAACTCTTCAGCATGTAAAGACTTGAACATTGTTCTGTTTGCAAAAATCACATAATATGTACGTTCAGTGCTAAAAATTGCAATCCCAAAGTCATCGACAGTTTTGCAATTTATCGATGAGATGATGTAGATAGTCTCATCACTATCACTTTATACTTTTCGCAAAAACAGCCAATACATGAAATGAGCAGCAATCCGTCGCGAATATATGTTGAGGAGGTGGCCGTTGATCAAAATGCCAGTCTGGACCTCAACTCCACAGAGGAGTCCGATGGCAATATAGCAGATATGGAACAGTCGATGGACAAAAGTGGAACATTTGAACAAAGCGAGACACTTTCTGAAGCCGAAGTGACGCCACGATCACATGTTATGGGCGAAGCACACAGCACGGTGTCCGATGATGAAGTTGAAAAAGAGGAAGAGGAAGACAGCAGTTCGAGCAGCACCGAACAAAGCGATTCGAGCATCTCGCTTAACAGCGAAAGCGATGCTATCGAAAGGGAGCACTCACCCAACACGGTGGTGGATGTAAATGATGTTGCCGGCAACGAGGATATCAACTATGCTGATTCCGACAATCAAATACTAGCCGAGATGTTGGCGGCGACCTATCCCAAACCTGATGAAGCAATAGACGCAGAGGTCGGGGCCGAGCAGGAAGTTGAAGAAGCCAAGGAAGATGCTGTGGAAGCAACTGAGGCGGACGCCGAGCCAGACTACGAAGTGGAAGTGGAAGTGGAAAATGAGCCGGAAAATGAGACTGAGATCCAAGTGGAAGTGCCCGAAGCAGTCGATGAGACTGCCGAAGTGATGTCACCCATCAACCGTCCTCCATCTGCCATTGATATGGAGGTACAACAACAGCCTGAACAATTAGAAAAGCGTTATACGCTAGCAATGAGTCAATATGAGCGCATCTCTGGCAGCAGCATAGATGAAGGCAAGAGCGATGATAATGAGGATGGTGACGATGAGGAAGATGATGACGATGACGATGACGAGGACGACGACGACGATGACGAGTATGACGAGGATGACGAAGATGATGACGATGACGAAGATGATGAGGATGACGATGATATTGTAGAGAATGAGGCCAGCTCGGTGAATAAGATAGCTGCAGCGTCCGATCGAAAAGATACGGATTACTGCAACTTGCCGCTAAAGAAGATCGAGATCAGTGCACATCCCGAAAAAGTCTACTATATTCGCCGGCATGATGGCACAGTTCATGCTGGTCACGTGCTCGAATCGCGCGTCACAGATAATAGCAGCAGAACGCCCAACGAGTATTATGTGCACTATTTGGGCCTCAATCGTCGCCTGGATGGCTGGGTGGGCAGGCATCGCATTTCCGACAATGCCGACGATTTGGGTGGCATTACGGTGCCCAGCACGAGCACCGGGAGCAGCGGTGGCCTAACCGGCGGTCACAAGCGGCAAGGCAATAAGGATTACTATTTGTCCGCATGCGAGAATCATGGCTACGATTACAGCGACAAAAAGATGACTCGCTATCAGAAGCGACGCAACGATGAGATCAATCACGTACAGAAGAGCCACGCCGAGCTGACCGCCTCCATGGTGCAGCTGGAGAAGGAGCACGAGCAGATAACTAAAGTCAAGTATATTGATAAGCTGATCTTTGGCTACTACGAGATAGACGCCTGGTACTTCAGTCCCTTCCCAGGGGAGTACGGCAAGGCGCGTGTTCTCTATGTGTGTGAGTTTTGCCTGAAATACATGCGTCTGGAGAAGAGCTACAGCTTCCATTTGTATGATTGCAAAAAACGACATCCACCTGGACGGGAAATCTATCGCAAAGGCACCATAGCAATCTATGAGGTGATTGGCAGGGAGCAACCGCTCTATTGCCAGCTGCTCTCCCTGACGGCGAAGCTGTTTCTCGATCACAAGGTGCTCTACTTTGATATGGAGCCCTTCCTATTCTATATACTCTGTGAGATCGACAATGATGGCAGTCACTGTGTTGGCTACTTCTCCAAGGAGAGGAATTCGCTCGATAATAACAATGTCGCTTGCATTCTGGTGATGCCGCCGCATCAGCGCAAGGGCTATGGAAAACTATTAATTGCCTTTAGCTATGTATTGTCCCGCAAGGAGGGCGTCATTGGCAGCCCGGAGAAACCGCTCTCGGATCTGGGGCGTCTCAGTTATCGCAGCTATTGGGCCTACACACTGCTCGAACTGATGAGGGAACGTTGCTCGGCCGAGCAGACCACCATTAAGGAGCTAAGCGAAGCCAGCGGCATCACCCAGGATGACATCATCTACACTCTGCAGTCAATGAAGATGATTAAGTATTGGAAGGGTCAGAATACCATCTGTGTCACGCCCAAAACCATTAACGATCATCTCAAGCTGCCTCAGTTCAAGCGACCCAAACTAACCATAGACTTAAATTGCCTAAGCTGGAAACCCCTTAAAAAATAATTCATTTACTATCAATTTAAGCAATCGAATGAATTTTATCATAATCATTCTCATTATTTTTTCAGCGCATACATCCCACAACAGTAATATAATCAAATGTATATTTATATTCAATACTCGTAATAGTCTTACATAGATGTCTAAAAATTAATAAATAAAAATAACTCTTAAACTAAACTCTAGGTATCTCTCAAGGGCTGGGTAGTGACACAAGAAGTGCTGGACTGAGTCCTCTTCTTCTTCATTAAGGCTACTTTTGCAGCAGTCATTATGAGGAATGGACAACCTCGTATAACACGGATCAGAAGATTAGAAACTCCCCCATTTGATAATCATTGGACTTATGGAATTACAATTAATTTCACAGATTGCTTTAATTGGCTTTTATTGAGTTTTGATTGATTGTTAAGTGCGTCTACAGCAATGAAAATGTAAATATTTTGGAGTTTTGCGGTAAGCTCCACAAATCGCATTTAGAATTGCCTACTTATTTTGTAAGAGATTTGAGTGGTTCTCTCGTTTGTGCGACAAACTTAAAAAGTATTTGTGAAAGTTTGGGGAAACAACAACAATTTTGCAAGTTGATTTAGGTATGTATGTGTGTGTGTGTGTGTGTGAACATCTTTTACGCATGCGCTCTAACTAAATGCATAAGAATGTAAATTAATGGCTACTTATCAATTGGCAACTGGTCGTCGATTGGCCAGAACAACATCCTGTTGGAAGAGAAGTGAGCGAGCATTAAACACAAAAGGGGCCAAATGCTAAACAACTGGCACACTGACAACTAATCTGCCAGGGAGAATATACATACATCTCTATATATATGTACATGTACATGAAAGAGATGGTGCAGAGGTGCACAGTGTTCTCAATAGAAACCATTCGCTTTACCGCTAGTTGACATCAAATCGGAAATGTCTCTTTTTTTGTGTGTTTTTTTTTTTTTGGGAGAACGTTGGCGCGTCCAACTATTTTGAATATGAATGAAAAATGAAGAATGAAGATGTTGTTGGCGCTGCGTAAGTCAGACTATTATTTGACTGGAGTGTGGAGCGCGGTCGGCAGCGTTTTCTTTTTTAATCAATTAAGTAGTTCACGCGGCGAATGTGTGTCAAAGCTATCGATGAATATTTACATATATACATTAGAGCAAGTGTCGCTTGACTCCAACTTGCCACATCTCTACCCCTCTCTCTGTCACTCTCCAACTAACTCTCTCTCTCTCTCTCATCTATCTGTGTGTGTGTGTGATGAAAACTAACTGTTTATTTGTTGCTTATGGAAATGGGAAACGGTAAAATGAGCGCTGATGCTGCGTTTATTTATGAAATGTATTATTTGTGTGTGTGCGTCTGCGTGTGTGTGTGTGTGAGTGTGTGTGAGTGTGTGTGTGCGTGTGTGTGTGTGTGAGTGTGTGTGATTTTGTGTGTAGTGTGTATTCGACTCGATCAGTCTCGAGTGCTGGGCTGTCTGAAGTTTTGAGAACGAAAGTGCTTTCCGTTGAAAGTTGTTTGAAATATACTCAAAAATGAGCTCCAATTTGAATTAGCTTGTGCTAATTAGAGAACTGTGCAAATCAGATATTTAATTTCTAAAAATATACCAATATTTATGTAATATGCTAAAGATATGGATAAAATGATCTCTTCATAAAAAATGTAGTCAGTTTGTACATTAAATGGTATTGGTAAGTACTGCGAAATATGCCCAGTTTCAACAACTAACTACTTTTGCATAATTTATAATACAATTCATGTGCATCCAATTTAGATTTCTATGATATGGAATTTTTAGCAAGTTGCGAAAATACTTTCGACTCGCACTCACCTGGAATCGTCAAACATTAGATCGATCTTAAGTTTGTATATCGAATTTCGACTGACACTCGAATTGTTTTCGAGCTGATCGCCGTCCAGTAGCCGGAATCCGGATGAGTTGCTATTACTGCTGGCGGGTTTGCGGATACGCACCGAATTCATTTTTGGCACTGCCACAACTGATTGCGAATCCAACTTGCAGGAAGTTACCATCATCGAGATCGATAGTAGGTGAGAAGAAGCACACGCGAAATGCAGCAGCCGCAGCAGTTTGAAGTTGAAGCAGTGGCACTAACTGCGGCGCATACCACTTTAGCTCTTTTTTGTTTTTGTGTGGTTTGCAGTTCCTTTTTTTTTTGGTTTTTTTTGTTTGTTTTTCTTATTTTATTTTTCTATTTGGGGTTTGTTTATTTGCCTTTTGTGTTATGCTTTTTGTGTTATGCTTTTTGTTTGCCTGTAATTTGTGTGCAATTAGCGGCAAATGTATTTTAATTATGCACATTGAATGTTAATTTTCCATCATTTTTAGCTATAACGAATTGTTACCATTACACAAGCGCACACATACACGCAGACAGGTATCCGATTGCACTGCACGAGATTTATGTTTTAACACTTTGCATAGACCGAGTCGAGAAGAGAAGAAGAAGAGTTCACGTCGCCTCCTGAGGTGTTTGCCTGGCGTGTTGTGTTGGCTTATTAATTAACTGCTGGCTAAAAGCTAAAAGCACCATCAATGAGAAAAGCCAAAAAGCAAAAAGCATATTACAATTGGTTTAAAACCTATGTACATATATAAATAGTGTTTATATCGTGTTTGAGGGTGGCGTTTTTCCTATAGGAAAAACTATTGAACATATTTAATGGTTGCATTTGTGCTGTTGATGTTTTCGAATTATGGTTATTGTTTAGTGGTGGTTTTTGGTTGTTCGTTGTTTCACTGATAAATTGCCCCATAAAATGCGATTGTTGTACTGGAAAAATGTTAACAATTTGCGGCGAGCTGCTTAACGCACAACACCAGTTGCAGTTGCAGTTGCAGAAATAAAACACAAATAACAAATATAAAACAAACACGCTCAAGTGTGTGACGCGTCTTAGGCTGCATCTGTTAGATACTTTCACTATAGCAAGAGATATTTGCCGTAATTAGCAAATGCCGTCTGCACCACACAAACAGACACACGTCACACACACACATACACACATACTCACACAGAGACACACACAAATAAAACACACACTCAGTCACTAACAAGCACACACAGATACACGTGTAACCCATTTGGCACTGACATTTACTTTTGCCTTATTGGAACTCCATTTGGAAACACTAAATTAACTGCACCGCACAAAATTCATCGGCAGCAGTAGACCCGGTCAAGTTGAATTCTCAATACTCCCGATACGGATTTATAAGCTCGGCATCTGGGCTCGTTGGATGCCACTCAGCGACTGCGCGAACGCGTACGTTCAAATGTCGATGAGCGTCAAACAAAAAAAAAAAAAAAAAACAGAGAAACAAAAACCACCAAACACAAAACTTTGCTTTGAGCCAACTTCGCCGACCATTTCGAACGAGCCGGCTTACGAACGCTGAACGAAGTGAAGTGGCCAAAAGAAATGGGCAAGCTTGGTGGCCAAGCAAACGTAACGGCGGCGGTAACTCCAATCTATCTGTGTGTGTGTACGTATATGTATGTATGTGTGTGTGTGTGTACACAATAACAATAACAATATTATCTCTGGCGTAAGTGGGTAGCGCGTCTCAGCTCACCTCTTCATATGCTCTTACATATCTTTCTACACTCATCCACATACTACACACAATGATTGTACACTCAGCAAAATACATGACCTAATTTTATTTGTCCAATGTTGTAACAGCTAACTCAGTATTGCATAGAACCCAAAGAAAAAGGATCTTTTAGTAAATCAATTATTTTAGAAATTTGTGGTTGACAACATTTATTTGAGAGTGTGTTTCGATATTTGTATAATTACTGCATACGTGCAGTAAACAGCATTTTTTTGTTTATATTTTATATAATTAAAAATTAGTATTAGCAGATAACGTAGCAGCACCGGTAACAACTCCGGTAGCAGCTACGAGGAGCAAAACAAAATTATGTGATTGCTTTGTAATATCACAAGCTGTGCAATTCAGATGCTGTGCTTTCGTTCTGCTCTCGTTCTGTTATTGCTACAACTATAGATATAAATTGACATCTTTTTGCATTAACTACTGCTATTCCTCTTGCAATTTCAGAGCAAAGCAGAGCGAAAGATTGAGACTAATTTCAGTTTTCTGATAGTGTTTCTGCTATATCTTTGTTGTAGCGATGAAATAACAAAAAGTAGTTTTGCATTATAAATCACTGAAGGTAGCGTAGCAATTTCAATCACTACTTGCAAGGGCTTCTATTTTGCTGAGTGTATTTACATATATAGTAAATGTAGGGGCAACAATATGGGGCTGCTGTTGGTTGTGCTGTTGCTGATGAAGACGAACGAGTCCACTTGGATTTTCAACATCAACAATCACTTGGCAGATGCTGAATGGGTGCTTTATGTGGCCGTAACTCCATTATATACCCAACAATGTTGGCATTATTTACACTTGCTCGTGTTTTGGCAGTCAACAACAAACACAACACAATTGCTGCAGCGATTTGCATAGATAAATAGTTGGGCATTTACGCAAAAGATTTTTGAGCAATGCTCTCAGTTCAGGCACCTGTTGCAGTCCAGGCCCAATGTCAATAACAACTTATTGATTTGGGTTTGGCGACGTTAACCAGTGGATTTGGAGTCAACTGTGGCCGGTGCCCAGTTTTGGTTTTTGCCATTTGCGCAAGCTCAAATATCTGTGACGGAGTCAGAGTCGGCATTTTCGAAATCAATGACCGTGGTCAAGTTTATACAATAATTGCGATGGCTGTGGACTCGTTTCTGGACTGGCTTGACTATGCAATCTCATCAACAGCATTTCATTTTTATTTTTATTTTTATTATTTTTTTTTTGTTGCTTTTGCGCTTAATCTGTAACATTAGTTGAGTGCACTCTAGCATAGAAATGCACCTTAGAAGAATATGGGAATATATGTATGAATGAAGCTATCACATGATAAGTATATATCCGCAGGGCAGCATAGGTATTGCATGTGCTCAATGCGATTATGTCGATAAGGGGGCTCATTCAAAAATTAATTAACAATATTGTTATGCAGCTAGAAACTGAAATTAATTGAGGTAGCCTGTAATCAAACATAATTTACGATGTGGTATTAATATTAAATTGAATGGTAGAATAATCATTCGTATAATCACATTAATTATATGCAACAATCTGAATTATACTGTCGAAACTTTCATATTAAGCTTCTTAGTTTTTTGTACAAATTTCTTGTAAATTATCTTGATAATCAATTCGTACTGCAAACCCATATAATTGTTAATAATACTTGTACGTGTTTTGTTCAAAAACGGACATTTTACCAGCAAATAGTTAAAATATTACAACTTTCCATTAGATGAAGCTTTACCGACAGATTTATGTATTTGTGTATATTTGTTTTATTTCTTTAATCACAGCACAAATTATATTTTAATTTGTGTATAATTTTTTGGTCAATTTTTAAAAATGTATTTACGTAATTTAATTGCCGCTTTTGTTTTGCAATTGATCGGTTTGTGATGCAGCTGCAAATTGTCATGTGTGTTGTGTATTCATGAGATAACAGTTAATGACAAAGTTACGACTAATTAAATTGTGTCTACATACTAAAACAAACGGCTAATAGCCGACTATTGTGTGACTGCCTTAATAAACTCTTACTTTTATGCCGGATGGCAACGGAGACGAATGCGGAGAAGAGTAAGTTGACGTTGACTGAGGGCCGGAGGGCTTCATCTGCTGTGCAGCTCTGTGTGTGCACAACATATGTTTATGGTGTGTGCCGCTTTTCTTTTCGTTTTGATTAGCCGAGTGAAACAGTAAACAAGATGCCAACATGCCTGACAGAAAAAACTTGTATCTCGGTTTTACTGTACAAGAAGGGCCCAAGACACTGTCATTTACAACGGTTATTTGTTAGCATTTATTTTCAGGTAGAACTTTCAAATGGCTTTTACTTTTAATAAATTCGTCTCTCGTGTCAATATAGGTTACTAACTGATTCTCTATGGAATGTCTTAGAATTTAATTCCAATTTTTTAACTGTCTCCATTGAATGTATTTCTCTATTTTGATTTACAATTGAATTTAAGTTATTTTAAATACTAACTCTATATGCATATAGGAAGTATCTTACTCAGATTTGTTGTATTTATATATTTTCCTAACCACTAATTATTGATATCCCTTTGAATATACTGTACTTACTAGTGTATATCTAGTCGGACTCAACTGCTTTAAATGACAAAATGCATGCGTTTTGCTTTCGACTGTTGGGTGCCGTTAATGTGATTTATCTAACAAATATCATATCTGTGATCATCACTTTCTCTGTCTTATTCTGTGTGGCTTGTCTGTTTTAAATTGTTTTTAGGTTTGTTTTATTTAATCGCAGTTGCAAGCAAAACAATTTTAAAATTAGTCATACATTATACTCGGCTATACTCTGGCGAATGCAAGCATGCTTGAAGATACAGATACTGCTACAGCTACACACATCTTCAGATAAAAACGCACAAGTGTATATGAGTATATAAGAGTACATACATATAGATATATATATATATACATAAACATATACATAGACATACATTTACAGAGTTAGAGCCCCCCCTTGGACTGTGTTGGACACGGTTGATTCCTTTAGCTTGGCTCTTGTGTCTAGCATTGCGTATCTGAAATGTGCTTCAAGCGCAGATTAAAGCAAAGCCATTCAATAGAGGTGCGATCAAACGACACAGACAACGTTTTTCATTTTATTTCATATAGTATTTCAAATATTTTATTAAATTATTTTTGACGGTGCGAATCCCCAGTTGCATTTGTCTGTCATCTGATTGGCACGACACGCAACCACCTCTGCTGGGTAGAGGCACTAAAGCGCTTTAATATAGCGTTAAATTTGTAAATTTAGAAACTTTCCTATTGGCTATGCTATTATACAACAGACATCATTTCGATACGATAGTAAAGTTATACCTAGAGAACATGCTTGCAGTATGAACTAACAACTGCAATCAAATTGCAATAATGTAATATTAGACAAACGCTGAGGCCCCCAACGATGATGACGGTTATACTCCTTATCACGATCTAACTTTCTAAGTACTTTAGGTACTCGCACTTAAATTTGGGTTAT